AAGCAGTCATTAAATTCCTTTACGAAATTTTCATGAAACGTTCAGCAACAGTTAATAATGTGAGTACCACACAAAAACACAAGGCAGGGATGAATCTCACAAGTTTCCCTCTTTCTTCAAACTTCAACACCTAAGTCCCGCCGTGGATTGATCGTTAAGACACGGTTCCCAGCAGATCACCGAAGTCAAGCATCACTGGTTGCGGTCAGTGTGCGAGTGGGTGACCACTTGGATCAGTCTGCGTAGGGACCGAGGATGTACGGTATTGGTCCTCTCAAAACTGTTCTACCGTAAAGTGGTCGACTTCGCATGCAGGTCGTCGGGCTACTGAAGCGGGGGTGCCATTCCCTCAGCAGAGGATCAAAATTTTGATGACATGTCTTCGGATCCTATTCAGGGATGTTTCCCAGATCGTCGCCAATAGCCCATTGTGCAGCTCTAGTACGACGCAAATGAACTACAACAGCATCAACACCAAAATCAACATCAGGGCTTTCCGCCATGGTAGATTTAAATTGGACCTTGCTGAATGTACACACTGGTTGCTTAATTCTGTGCAAGGATATGAATATGTAAGGATCAATTTCCATTTGCACAGTAGCTAGCAGCCTTTCTCTAAATCAAATCGACTCCGAAATTCCACAATTGAAAACAAACAGTTTTAGATTTAGTGTTACATACGTGATAGACTTCTTCGGCAGTTATTGCGATTGATTTCTGAATAATTTTTAAAATCCTGCATTTATAGTTGTTGTTGTTATTAATTTACGTCGCACTAGAGCTGCACAATGGGCTATTGGCATGCCATCGCAATTTTGATCCTCTGAGGAGGGGATGGCACCCCTGCTTCGGTAGCTCGACGACCTGCGAGGGAAGTCGAGCACTTTACGGCAGAACAATTTAGCGAGAATCAATACCGCACACCCTCGATCCCTACGCAGACTGATCCAAGTGGTCACCCACCCGCACACTGACCGCAGCCAGTGATGCTTGACTTCTGTGATCTGCTGGGAACCGTGCCTTAACGATCAGTCCACTGCGGGACCCTGCATTTATAATACATTATTTAAATACGCAAATTAAACTCTCTTACGAAAGCATTCCAAAGGCATGGTAGACACGATGTAAGTAATATCCCGTCTATCATAACTTATCTTCCAATTAAGTTATACAAAGCTTTGACCATCTTATTATTCATTTATTTATAAATTTGTAGGTTTGTGCTCTTAAAGCAAGTACAAAATTGATGATTACTGTCATTTCGCCAAACGCTTTGAAGCATGGAGGCAGTGTGTTCTATTCCCACCATAACTCTAGGTTTATCTTTGTGATGTACTTCTGTAATTTGTGCTACCTTTTCCTCAGTTTGGCAAAATTTTATAAGTCGTTTTATCATACAAGCCCAGAGATTTATTTATTAAACACTCTGTAGTGTGGAGGTAGCTGGTTCGAATCCTACCGTAACCCTGGATGTATATTCTTGCCATCCTTCTCTGAATTGTACTATCTGTCTTTATACTGGTCAAAAGCTTATAAGCCATATTTATGTAATTGAACACATAAAACTGCAATAGTATGTGTAGAGCGCGATGGCTCAGGGGATAGAGCATTCGCCTTCCAATGAGGTGAACCGGGTTCAAAGCCAGCAATGGCTGGTCGATACGAATCCTCATCCGGCTTGCACCGACTACAGAGCTGAAGTGAAATATCCTCGGTGGCAGACGGATCATGGGTTAGAGTCCCTTTTCCGTCAGGCTAACCGTGGGGGGTTCACATGATCTTCCTCTCCATGTAACAGAAATGCGGGTTAGTTCCATCGAAAAGTCCTCCACGAAAATAAAATTTCTCCCAATACTTGATCAAGGAGTTCCCTTATCTTCTGGATTGGTTTCAAATTTACAAAGCTACGGAGTTGAACATTAGTAGTCGTGAACTCAAAATTGGGTCAGCTGCTCAACGACGGTTATAATATAAAATAAAACACCAAACATTGAGCGACGGCGGCCCAGGGGATAGAGCGTTCGTCTACCTACAATACGATCCAGATTCAAATCCCAGGGATGGCGGATTGATTGGTTGGTTTCACACCTCCCGACTCGCACCAACCAAATGCTGACATAAAATATCATCAATGGTAAATCCATCATGGGTTAGAATCTCTTGCCATCTGGCTATAAATAAGAGGATTTCTTGTTTTTTTTCACAATGCAACGCAAATGCGTGTTAGTTCCCTCAAAAAGACCTCCAGTTTGTTCCAATGCTTGAATCTAGAGTTCCCTTGTCTCCTATGTTGGGTTCAGAACTTCTAGGCTTCGGAGTTGAACATTGATAGTTGTAAACAAAGAATTAGGTCGGTTGTTCAACGCCGGTTATAAAATATAAAACATTAGTACTATTGGAGGGGAATTTTAAATTCTGTAAAACATAAAGATAGTTCAAATTTAGATTTGTCTCTAAAAGGACTTGGTTTTTGGATATTTTCGAATGGTTAGTAGACTGGTTTCAATCTCTAAGACTACTGCTAACTATCCCATTCATATTATTAGGAGACTTTAACTTACACCACTCTGCTTTAGAAACCCAGTCATCATCAAGGTTCTCGAGTGGCTACTAGAATTGCAATACTGTCTGCTAAATACAAAGATCCCAACAAGCTTCAAGCCAGTGAGCCAGCCAACCCTCGCTTTTAGATTTTATAATTTCATCAACTGACATTCTTCCAAATTCAATCAACTCCTCACTTTACAGGCACTTTGCTATGCCCTCTCATCCTCTAAATGTAAATAACCAGGACCTGATAAAATTTCTTTTAAGTTACCGCTCTCTCTCTCAGAAGCGGCTCGGCTGAAACTTCTGGATGAGTTGAACTCTATCTGGATTTCAGGACAAATATCAGAGTCCTGGAAACTAGTACTTGTCATCCTTATCCATAAGAAAGGGAAACTTACAGAGCTTGTGTGATCTAATCATCTACCTATATTTCTAGCATCAACTCTGAGCAATACTCTCGAACTAAACTACCTGAAACTGAACTGGCTTCTAAAATGACTCAATGATTTTTCCCTAAGGACTGGAGTCTTTCACCCCTATCACTGCGGATTCCTCCCATTTTGAGGAGTAGATTCAGTACTCACCATCCTCTATCACGAAGTCCTTCGGGCTCCGTACGAAAAAGAATTTGTAATATGCTGATCTCTTGACATCCACGCTGCGTACGACAATGTCAACCAGGAAGCCTTAATCCTCAAACTCTTAAAATCTGGTATTTCTGATAGAGCTTCTCTTTTCATTCACAATTTTGTTAAACACAGAAAGATAGCCGTGCGATGGCGGAAAGTGCCATCAGCGCAAATTTTCCAATGAACAAAGGCTTTCAAAAAGGGTCAGTTCTTTCTTCTTCATGATTTACCTCCATCTTTTTCTTCCGCACAATATTATGTCTTATAGTTGGGGACGATATCTATTTTATTGCAGTCGCTGAAACTAATTACGATACGAAGTGAAACATAAAATGCAATTTTCTCAAGTTCAGAAATGGTGTAAAAATTCGAACCTCGAAATAGTTCTGGAAAAGAGTGCGGCCATTAATTCCTCTGAAAGACGAATTGCTGACAATTTCCATCTCAACATTTTCAACAAATCCATCTCCTGTGCCCAAAACCTTCGTGTTCTCTGCCTACATTTTTCTAGCAACATAATTTTTCGCTATCACTTATGAGTGTTAAAACAAAAAATCATAAGGAAACGCTCTGTTTTTCATTGCATATTTAGCACCTGCTAGTGTGCTCAATCAGATCACCTGTTGTTGTTGTTGTTAATTTACGTCGCACTAGAGCTGCACAATGGGCTATTGGCGACTGTCTTGGAAACATCCCGGAGGATGATCCGAAGACAAGCCATCACAATTTTGATCCTCTGCGGAGGGAGTGGCACCCCCGCTTCGGTAGCCCGACGACCTGCGCGCGAAGTCGAACACTTTACGGTAGCACAGTTTAACGAGGACCAATACCGCACACCCTCGGTCCCTACGCAGACTGATCCAAGTGGTCACCCACCCGCACACTGACCGTAGCCAGTGATGCTTGACTTCGGTGATCTGCTGGGAACCGTGTCTTAACGATCAGTTTACTGCGGGACTCACCTGTTCCGAATTGTCAACTTTTGTATCAGAAGTATCCTTAACCATAACCAGCCACATCTTTTCTTTCTCCTGCTAAACCGGTTTACGAAACTTAGACGTATTATATAATGCTGTCCTTCGCGTGGCAACTGGTTTGCCACGATGGGCACTCATTCCACCCCTTCTCAAAAAAGCGGAAGTGAGTACACTACTTCCGGCGCATCTCTCTCCAATCATCTTCGCCAGCTTATCATGCCCTACAGCTCCCTCAATTTCGCTTTCCACAAGGTAAAATGATACCACTTATACCACTCCTGTCCAGATGGATGTCCAACAAGAATGTATCTCAAGATAACGTTATTAAATACCTCCTTCCAACTCAAACTCCTTCAAATGTTTCAATTTATCTTGATAATTTACCATTACAAACCAAAAATTTACTGCCGCTACGGGTTCGAGCTTTGTTCGAAGAGTTTCGCCATCAGAATTTCTCAAATTGTATTGTTCTGGTAACAGATGAATCCAAACAATCAGACAAAATTGGTGTGGGAATTGGCTCCAAAGGGTACACGATCTCAGGTAAATCACGAAGACGAGCAGCATTACCCACGCCACACTACCACGGATACCCTTTCCATAGGGTGGGCCACATTCACGCATTACACAACCGAGAGCAATGCACTGATAACAACACACATAGAGAAACATCCATGCCCAGTGGGATTCGAACCCGCAACCATTGGCTTCGCAGTCAGACACGTTGCCCGCTCAACCTCCTGACCGGTCTATTAATATTAATGAAACTATTCTATTTTCTTACGATTAAATCTACCACTTCTAATCGAAGGAACATCACGTGGTAAATGTATGCAAACATAATCCTTTCAATGCTCGATAGTTTTTCCTTTATTTTACTGTCAATTAATCGCTTATTTATGTACTTGTTATCTATGCAATTTTCATTCATAGAGTGCATATAAATTATCTTAAATCACTTAAACTCTAAAGTGCGGTTATTTATTTATTTATTTTTAGATAAAATACAATGGAAAGTTCGAGAAAACAAGAAAAACAGCCGATAACTAAAGACTCGCATTTACAGAATAATGGGGGAGACTATTCTTCAATGAGCACGGTATAGCATTTTCACTTCAAGTTCATTTTCAATGTTATGTTAAAGTTGGGTACGGATTCGGTGATTCAAATTAGCAATTTGAAACTGATTCAAATATGATTCGACGGTGAATCAGTTTCAAGTTTTTGATTTGAATAATCAAATTAATTGAGTGATTCGAATCTATTGATACTGATCCATCCACATAAAGTTAGGTACTAATCAATCAGTACCAAATTCTATTTTGAGTCAATAAGTGATTTAAATCACTTTCATCGAATTGATGCGAGTCACCAAGATGAACTGGTTCTATGATTCGAATCACCTCGATGATTCATTTTGCCTAACTTTAAATTGTATTTTATGGTATATAATAGTGTTCTAAAATATATTATTAAAATCAGAACCGTTGATTGGCTTAGAAACGTACCATAAAAAGAATTATTTGTTTTCAATTCAAAAGTGCTGTTATGAAATATTAAAATATATTCTTAAACTAGTTAAATAAATGTAGTATTGTAACATATTTTATTGAAAAATGTAGAATTTTACAGTTAAAAAACATGAATGGGATAAATATGTTATGTTCTCTATTAGTGTTATTTTATTTTACAACCGAAGTTGAACGTTGATCCAATTTACGCCTATCAATGTTCAACTCCGTAGTCTTGTAATTTTGAACCCAATCCAGAAAATAAGAAGATTCCTATATCTAACATCAGGGCAAACTAGTCTACATGAAGGACAGTGTAGTTGGAACTAACCCACATTTGCGTTACATGAAGAGAAAAACCACGAAAGCTTTCCACAGTTAACCTACTATTTATTTTCTACAAAGGATATTTTTATGTCAGCGCTGTGGTCTGTGTTAGACGAGAGTGGAATTCGTATCGACCGACCAAGGCTGGGATTTAAACCTGGGTTACCTCATCGGGCGGCAAACGCTATCTCCTGGGCCACCGCGACTCTCTGTTAGCATTAGTAAACATCAAAATTATCTTATTTTCAATTTATAATGTACATGTTGTTGGATAATTGAATAATCCAGCTATTTGAAGACAGCATCTTTTGCAACACATCTGTTGTTAATTTGAAAAATCTCCAATACTTTCTAATCAGTCAAACAGTGCTGTCAGATAGACAGATAACGTAAAAGATAAGAGTTATAATAAAAAGCTTGACGAATTATGATCATGATCAATCACAGTGAAAACAGAAATTTCACGGAAGCTTGAAAGTTTTGCTCCGAACTAAATGAAGAAAGACGATTATTAGAAACAGCTTTTAGTTTCGTAAAGCAATTGAACTGATTCCGAAGCTAGTTATCTAGTCTAACTAACTGTTTCTGTTACTATTTTCTCCATTTAAATTTTCACTTCCTTCTCACAAGAATTCGGAAAAAAGATAATAAGGGTGGTAATTACAGGATACTATGTGTACTTTTTAAAAATCCATAAGTATAATGCTTTATCAAAAAAAAAAAGAAAAAAAAAATTGAAATCGGAAAAATATTACCATTATTATTATTATTTTTAATAAGTATCAGTGTTAGTCAGCTCAAGTTCTTCCGATATTTTTCGTTTTTAATTTTATTCCATTAATAAACAGTGGCGGCGCAAAAACTAAAAAGCGAAAAGAACTTATTGTCAATAAAATAATAAAATACAAAAAAGCATATTTTGCCCATTCATGTTTTGCATATTGCATATTCAAAATGCATATTTGAATTTAAAAAAATGACTATTAAATCAAATAATAACAAGTACTTAATAAGACCCGCGAGGGCTCAGGGGACAGAACGTTCGCCTTCCAATGAGGTGAACCTTGGTTCGATCCCGGTCATGGCTGGTCGATACGAATTCCGCATTCGGTTTGCACCGACCACAGTGTTGACGTGAAATATCCTCAGTGGTAGACGGATCACGGGCTAGAGTCCCCTTGCCGTTAGGCTAACCGTGGAAGGTTCTCGTGGTCTTCCTCTCCACGTAACGCAAATGCGGGTTAGTTCCATCAAAAAAGTCCTCCACGAAGGCAAATTTCTCCCAATACTTAATCCAGGAGTTCCCTTGTCTTCTGGATTGGGGTTCAAAATTACAAGGCTACGGAGTTGAACATTAGTAGTCGTAAACCCAAAAATTGGGTCGGCTGTTCAATCACTGTTCTAAAATAAAATAAAAAGTATTTAATAAAAAGTCTTTTCGAATGAATTCAAATAAACTGGCTTATTTGTATTAAGAAAAAGTGATACATTCCAAGTTAATCAGAAATACAACTTTTGACGAGTTTATCTATCAGGGCTTCATAGTTCGAATATATTGTGCTTAAAATCTTTGTAACCAAATAGGTTAAAAATATTATAGATTTGCTTCTTTCGTTCAATTTAAAATATAGATATATTGTGCCTTGCTTGTTTAAGTTAAAAACGTAAATAAAATTTTTAATTTGCATTTCCATTTTGTCACTTCTGTTGAATTATGTATTGATATATAAACATAATTTATCCTAGTGTTCTGATAAAGTTTTTAGCTTTATTAATTTCCAGATGTCGTTTAACAATTGCAATTTATTTAATGCCGGGGAAAAAATTGAAGAATAAATAGTAAGCGAAAAAGGGATCGAAATAACACTTTTTTAATTTTAATTTTCATTTATGATTTCGAAACGTGTGTGCAATTATAGTTACATTTAGAATTTTTACATATTCGTATGTTATTTTAATTTTAGGATAGGTTAAATGAGCTCAAATCCTTACACGAAGTTCCAAGGCGCTGACCAGTGAAAACAAAATTGGAGTTCAGCGTCAAACATACTTTAAATTAACGAACATTAGTTTTAAAGCTATCTTATGCCAACTTTTTTTATTATTTTCGTTTAGTTATTCATTTAAGTTTAGCTAAAACTATAAATAGTAGAATTATGATCCTTTGCATCTACGTAGTATGTCTGAACATGAACAACTCGGCTCGCATAGTTTAAATTTTTTAATTAGTTTGGAGTGATTAGTTGCTTTTTCTTTCAAATGAATATCAAAACTTGCCATTTTTTGCCACCCTTTTAATAATCCGTACCATTACAGATCGAATCGATGAAATTAGTTAAATTAACGATTTTAAAAAGAGCTGCGAGAACAATTCTGAGAATTGGAGACAGCTATCAAGACGTGAAGCTTCGAACTTAATTAAAACAAACGATGAAAGAAATTGATATATAAAAGCTGATGAATTAAACACGACTAAGGCAAAAAGAGTGAACTAAGATCGCAAAGTCATTTGAAGTGAAATATATAAGGTTTGAGATCAGTAGCGGCTTTTTTTTAGCAAGTTTGAGCCAGGAGTTCCAGATTGGATTCAAAATTACGAGGCTACATTGTTGAACATTAGTAGTCATAAACCCAAAACTTGGGTTGGCTGTTCAACGACGGTTATGAAATAAAATTAAAATGCCGCGAGACGTGGTGGCTCAGGGGATAGATCACTCACCTTGCAATGAGGTGATCTGGTTTCGAATCTCAGCGATGACTGGTTGATACGAATTCCGCACCTTGCTCGGTTCGACCACAGTGCTGATGTAAAATATCCTTAGTAATAGACGGATCATGCGTTAGAGTTCTCTTACTGTCAGGCTAACAGTGAATGGTTTTCGTGGCTTTCCTCTTCATTTAACGCAAATGAGGGTTAGATCCATTAAAAAGTCTTCAATGAAGGTCAGTTTGTCCCAATGCTAGATCCAGGAGTTCCCTTGTCTTCTGGATTGGGTTCAAAGTTACAAGGCTACGGAGAACATTGGCAGTGGTAAACTCAGAATTGGGTTGGCTGTCCAAAGCCGGATCATAAAGAAAATCATAAAATAAGATTTTATAACTTGCGTTGTTGGTTAAATACTTCTTGACAGATTACTCTGCCTTAAGTAAAGTCAAAACTAAGAACAAACACATAAATATATAAACTTAAATCTTCTCAAGAAATTTTAAAAAAAATTTCTGAAAATTCCATTTCGTTGGTTTAGTTACACGTGTTTGGTACGATATCCGAAGCTGCAATCCTTATATCTTAGCCACAAAAGAAAAGAAGTAAAAAAAACATGACAAATTTTTTGTTAAGATTAGAAGCATTTTATTTCTGATAAAAAAAATGATGAAAATTAAAATATGAATATGAAAACATATCTCTTATCTGTTTTATCTTAAGGCATTAAATTTGATGCGAATTACTTATAAGACTAAGAATTTTTAGCATTGTCATTTTTCTTATGTAAGGTACCTTGTGTGAGAACACAGCAATTCTTTTGGCGTCTGATAAATGCTATCATTATTTGTTTTAACAAAAATATTGTTTATCTTTTCTTATATAAGTACTTATATAAGCATGTAAAATAAAAGGCAGGATTAGAAAACTCAAAGGAATCAAAAGTTTTATTTAAAAAAAAAAAAGCTTTTACTATTTTATTAATAATAACAATACAGACATAAAATATTCTTACCATTAATTTAGTTAAATGAAAAAAATATTTTTACAATTTTCTATACGTTCCGTGAAACAAAAAACTCACTCCTTTAGTTTAAGTTTTAAAATGTTATTTCTTTCTTTAGTCATAGGATGTAGTCTTTTTACCAAATATTTTTTGGCGTGTTGAAATAATAGGCTCGAAATTTGTTCATAAATATTTTATTCTATGTTTCTGATGTTTTTCTGCAAACGTAATAGCTCTGTCTTTCGATTCTATACCTTATAAATAGTTCTTCTGTTTCGCCTGCACGACTGTTTTAATTAATTATGTAAGTAATAAAGACTAAGTATAAATTGGTGACTTTTTGAACTTTACACTTACAACGGAAATTAGGGAAGTGTGACTCGCCAATTTCGAAATAAACTAGTGGGATGTATGCCTTATGAGGAATAATTTTAGGGGGCAACATTCGTTTCGGCCCATAGAAGGTCCTGTGAGAGACAAAAAATAATTCCATATGTAGAAAAATCGGTATTTTATTACTTCAATGCAGACTATTAGTTATTGTAATTATCTTATGCTCCAATTAATTTTGTGATACTTTCACGTACTATATAATGCATATTTATTGTGAAAATGGATTTCGAAAATTTATATATCTGTAGTCTTTCAGAAAAACCTGTTTGGTTAATTTTAAAAAAAAAAATTGACATCAAATTTTCTAAATTTTTTCTTCCAAAAAATTTTCCAAATTAATTGGAGTATGTAATTACAAATCAATTAATTAATAATTAATTAATTAAAAATTAATTAATGATCGTACAATTGATTTGCTACTTTGATTTAATTTGTTAATAAGCAAATCAATTAATTAACCAATTAATTAATAATTAATTGGAGTATGAGACAATTACAATAACTAATAGTCTGCATTGAAGTGATAAAAGACCAATTTTTCTAAATATTGAATTATTTTTTATCTCTCACAGGACCATCTATGGGCCGAAATGACTGTTGCCCCCTAAAATTATTCCTCATAAGGCATACATCCCACTAGTTTATTTCAAAATTGGCGAGTCACATTTCCCTAGTTTCCTTTGTTAGTCATCTCTTTAATGTAAGATTGCTATTTTCATGAAGGAGTTTTTTTTTCATCTCTTTTTTGTAAGATGATAATTTGATATTTTCCTTGTGTTGTTCTAATTCTTTCGTGATACTGTGTCCTTTCTATCTAAACAAAGATATATAAAAAAAGGATTTGAATTTCAATTTAACGTTTATCGACTTTCCAACATTATCTTGTCATTGTGGCTGCAAAACTCTTTAGTTAATATTGAGCTGGTAGAAATCATAGTATGTAATATGTAGATCAAGGTATATGAATGTTGACTGATCCGGATCGAAATTAAATTTAAAAAAATTTGAATGTCTTGATTTAATTTGAATATTTCTTACAACTGCAGATTTGGAATGGTAGATAAGGTCGTGATTGAGACACCTATGTGACTATAGGATAGTAGTTTTCCCAATCACCTTAGATGGCATGATTCCCATTGTTCTGTCATTCCTTATTTGTATTAAATGAATAAGCATAGTTGTCAGAAATACAGAAAATGTCATTGGTTCGTGATCTCAAGTTATATGTTTCGGTTAAAAAATTATATATTTGAAGATGGTTTCCGATATTATGGAATTGTACAATGACTAACAATAATATGTATAAATAATAAATTAAAAAAACAGGCACCTCAGATTAGAAAAGCAAACAGGGCAATAATAACCGTTATTTTGATGCCGATGAGTAAATGTGATAATGCCTTAGATTATATTCCTTGATCTTAATTTCACGCTAATATCCATCATCTTAGCAAATTTGGAATTTCATTGCGCTTATTGAGATGTCTTAGATTAATTACCTGGCCACTGGTCAATCATCACTGAGTTAGAGATATAAAACAATCGGAATGTGTTTCTGTTGTGATGTGAATATGAATCATTGGAAAGGAACGGGGAAAACGATAATTAATTTATTCCACTCAGTGTTCAGCCTCAGGCTTGGACAACTCTATTATTTATTTGATAGCAAAATTAAGTTTACAAATATATTACTTATGCATTTTATTACAAAAGAAGAAGAAGAAAAGGTGAAAGTAAAAATGTTTTTCCTTGAAAATTACTTCATTTCCTCGTTATTGACAGCGAAAATTGAATTTCGTCCTTCTGTGGATGGCAGAAAATAGTCAAGTAACGCAAAGGACCAATCATCACGCGTCAGAATTTCGTCCTAACATAGAATTGTCTTCGCACGACATTTATTTCCTGAAAGCAGGCTAGCTATAGAAGAATTGCAAGTGAAAAATCGTTCCTCTGTGGATGGTTGAAAATAGCCACGTGACGCAAAAAGCCAATCACCATGAGCCTGAATTCCGGAATGAAATGGAGTTGTCTTCACCCGACAATGTTCTCTTAAAAGCAGGATAAAAGAATTGCAGGTGAGAATTCAGGTCTACGTTTCTCTCATGACGTCACGCTAATGATGTCAGGTCTCGTAAAAATAGGGAGTAATGTAATGTCCTCTGTGGTTTCAGAGCCTGAGTTGAGTAATTGCTATAAATATATTACTTTCCTTCGGTAATAATTATGGTATTGCATTAGCCTTGAAGAGCTAGTATTGCCTTTGGAGCATCATTATGAATGAATCCTAGAATAGTAGCAATAGCTCATTAGTGTAACACTAGTGCGACGCTATCAGTCAAACAAAACCATAAAAAAATTTTAACTCGTAAAACTAGTGACAAGTTTAAGCGTTTTTTTTTAAATTGCGGTGACTGTCGGAACTAAAATTATCGTGGTTTTGCCCATGTGCAGCATTGAATTTGTTTGGGGATAAGTTCTTTTAAATTGTTTAATCGAGGACCAAAGAGTAAATCCCATTATTAAAATGACACTTAGTTTGCTTAAGTTCGACAATACCTAATATTTATCAACAACGTAAAACCCTTTTTTTATTTATCTTTTGCCTTGATTGTGTTATCTTTCGTCATTTGTAAGGTGCGTTAGTCGAGATAACTCTGAAGACGAAGAGAAGATTGATAAAACGTATTTTACTTCAGTTTAATCACAATTGAATATTTCTTACAATATGGCGGTAGCAAATGGGATAACTTCCATCAATTCTTACGGAGAAAATCAAGAGATTTATCATACGGTATGTTTTAATTAAAAATTTTTGAGGAACAATCAAATATATATATTTGAAAATGCTATATATAGCATCAAGAATTTGCACGTTTAAAAAACTATACTCTTTTGTATGAATAATGATTGGAAAAACCTCATTGATTGGAAAATTTTAGACATAAAAATGTTATTATCATTTTTAAAAAATGATGTGCAAAATCATTTTTAATGTTTGATGCTAGGAACTCAGTTGATATTAGGAACTTAGTATTATAGTTTTTGATACTAGGAACTCAAATGATATTAGGATTCTAGTATAATGTTTGACGCTAAGAACTCAATTGTTATTAGGTACCTAGAATAGTACCTAAAATGGTACTTAGATGCTAGAACATCAATTGATATTAGGATCCTAATGTAGTATTTGACGCTAGGAACTCAATCGTTGTTAGGATTCTAGTATTATAGGTTTTGATATTAGGAACTCAATTGATATTAGAAACCTATTATAGTGTTTGATGCTAGGAACTCAATTGTTACTAGGAACCTAGTATTATAGTGTTTGATACTAGGAACTCAAATGATATTAGAATTCTAGTATTGTTTGATGCTAGGAACTGAATTGTTAATAGGTACCTAGATGATAGGAACTCAATTGTTACTAGGAACCTAGTATTATCGTGTTTGATACTAGGAATTCAAATGATATTAGGATTCTAGTACAGTGTTAGATGCCATTAACTCAATTGTTATTAGGTATCTAGAATAGTGTTTGATGCCGTGAACTAATTTTTCTTTTTAATGACAAATGTTTAAATCACAAATTGAATACAATTTATGAATTCAAAAGCTTACATAATTCATTTCTGTAATTTTACATATGATTATAAAACTCTTCTAAATCATTGTGAAAATCTCTTACCAATAGAAAGTTTCGCTACTTAAAACTTTGAAGGAAAAACAAGTCTAACTGGGATGTGCTGAGAGTGCGTGAAAAAAAAACATAAAACAAAAAACATAAAACAAAGTAAAGGTTACGCGGCAAAAATTATGTGTTAGGTAGTTCAAATACATTCAAAGCATCAAAGCAGAGCATAAAACTTACTTTTGATTTTACGTTTATTTTGTGTGAACAAAGCAATGCGGTAATACGGATAAAAAATTTCAGCCCTGTTATAAATTATCCAGCTGAACTGACTGTTTGCTGTCATTCCTTACCTTCATATTTTATTGCTTTTATCAAAACACATTTTAGAAATACAATTGAAAAGCCGAGTCGATGCGGCGGGTAAGTGACATTTTTGAAAAAAATTGTGATTTAGTCTTATTTAATTACGATAAGATTCATTTATGTTGCTAAATCAATTCCAAAAATTGCAGTTAATGAAGAAGGTAACAATATTTGAGTATTTTTTCAACGGAAGGCCAAAGTGCGAGCAGCAGCAAAGCGCGCGCAGAATAGTCAACAAACTAGAAAATCTAGATTCCCTTGGCCATCGAACGCTAATACTCGAGGAGTTCGAATTAGTGTTAAGAGTTTATGTATTCCATATTAACCCTTTGACGCAGAATTTTTATTAAACATATTTTTCACACTTTTTTCATTATTTTGAATTAATTTATGTCAAAATAAGTGCGAAATATTATATTTAGCAATTTAATAATTATTATGAAACACAGCATGGAACACCGGTGACTTCTGCGTTAAAGGTAAAATCTCCCAAGTACGGCTCTCTTCCAAACAAAAATTTTTTAAATTTGCAGATATTTCGATCTAAGAAAAACAGTTATACAACTCTGAAATTTCTTTAATTTACAAAATCAATTTTTGATAAATTTTCAAAATATAAATTTAAAAAAAGAAACTTTTTTTGGATTATATATATTTTAAAACAAATATCGCTTTCAAATATGAATGTTTCCTGATTCTTTTTACACGAGTACACACAGTTGTCTTTTAGATTTAAGGCTAATAAGAAGCTAAAAATAAGAAAGTTACCTTATCACTGATTTAATGCCGAAATTATGCGGATGACCTAAATTACGACGAGAATTGTCCAGTTATTTATCAAGATCGCCATAATCGAAAAATTCTTAACAGCTAATTTTTAATGAAAAAAATTTAAAAGATTTAATGTTCAACAGCTGTAGTCAATTTTCGCATTAAAACTTATAAAAATACTTATATTCAGTCTTAAACATACCTTAAAAGCTCCTCACCGCAAATTTTTCTCTCTAATATTATAATTTTTCATTCATACTTTTTCATACTCATACTTTTTCATACTCATACTCATTCATACTTTTAATACTCACGCCTCCAAACTGTTTGTAAATAATGTAAATATATATCTTTAAAATAGAAAAGGCGTTTTGAGCGGGTTATACTCCTGAAAACATTTCATTCCTTAAGCATCAATCTATTAATACTATATCCAATTCATTTATGCTTTCGAAGTTTATATTTGGAACAGTTTCGAGGAGAGGGGAAAAAATTGACTTCATTCCAAAAGCATCAAGTTGACTAATTCTCTATGTGATGAATATTTACGTAAGTTTTTTAAAATGATTGCTAAAATATTTGAACAATTGTAGTTTAAAATGGCGAACATACTTTATGTAATAGCATTAAGTGCGTTTAATTAGTATTCTTGAACATTGTTATATTGATTGGAGTGATATTAATTCTCGTTTCAGTTTCTCATATTGTCTGTAAACAAAACATCAAATGATTCTACTAAATTCTTTTTTTTATGGTTTGCGGGGATTTATTTAAAACTAAAATTGGCAACAATGCTTTTCTGCAGACTACTTTTTTTATGTCTTGTGATTTTCTTTCTTCATTTTCTATTAAACAAATCTTTTTCGAAAAATTATTTTTTTAAAGTTTAAACAGACAAGAAGACTTTTTATTGTATTGCAAATAAAGATGGTTAATCTTTTTTATGTTTAAGGCTTGACGAACTTTTTTTTTATGTTTAAGGCTTCACGAATTTTTTATTAATGAAAAAAAAAGAGAGAAAATAGATATAGTAGATAGTAGAATTAATTTAGTTATGATAAAATGCAATTGACTAAAGAAATGAATAGAAAAGCAATAAATTAGGAAGTTAATATTTAAAAATTAACTTTTAATTTATTTTCTGGACCTTAAAAGAATGAAAAATCCATCTCAATAATTTGGGAAAGAAAACTCTAAAGAAATAAGAATTTTGTAAAACGCATTGATTCCGAAGTATCTACTCGTGGGTGGTATTTTGTATTGCGTTTCTACATTTTAAGACTTTTTTGTGTATAACAATGTTTCTAGGCAGTAGGTATCTTTTAAATTAATTTTCTAGTTGAGTTCTCGATCTTAGCAATAAATTCTATAGCATTGAAATACGAAGTATCACTGACAAAGTACATTATAGTCACCACTGAGTAAAAAGATAAACCTTTTAAGAATAGGTTGTAACAGGTAGTAATAACTGATATAAATCTTTAGTTCAGAATTTGCTTATGCATTGCAACAAGGGTAAGTATTAATCAAAGCAATTTCTTTACATAGTTTCCTAAAACTTTTTTCCAGTTGAATCCTGTACTATTAGTATAGTAATACGCCTGTATTATTAGTATTGTTTTATATATATAAATATTAACAATTTTTTTAAACGAATTTATTGTTCTGTTTTGTATTATTTCAGGGCATTGATATCAAAAGATCTGCTTCATTTGATCCATCCAATAAAATTTTTCTTACTTGGCACAACGTCAGCGTTTTTGTTAAACCCAAACAAAGTCTTCTAAAGTTTCGAAGGCAAAGCGATGCTAATGAAAGTAAACAACTTCTGTTCGATGGTAAGTGAATAATTGTCTAAATTTAAAATCCATTTTAAGCCTAAAAATTACAAAATTACCGCAAAAAATATTCAAAACGGGAACTATGTTCAAACAATTAATAATTTTTATTTTTATTTTTTATAACCGACGTTGAACAACCGACCCAATTTTGAGTTGAGGACTACCAATGTTAAACTTCTTTGCCTTGTAATTTTGAACCCAATCCAGAGGACAACGGAACTCCTGGATTAAGTATTGGGAGAAATTTTATCTTCGTGGAGGACTTTTTGATGGAAGTAAACAACGCTTGAGTTACATGCCGAGGAAAACGACGAAAACCGTCCTAAGATAAGCCAAGGGAACTCTAATCCATGATCGTCTACCACTGAGGATATTTTACGCCAGCACTGTGGTCGGTGCAATTAATTACATATATATATATTAAGCGTCAATAAAAAGATTTCTATCATTAATAAGATTATGAAAAGGGTATATATATAATAATAATAATATAAAGGGTATATATACAATATATATGTATTGTAAAACTCAAAAGTTATATTGCAATTTGTTTTTACAGGAAAATTTGAAACTAACGGGCAATTAGATTACCTTCCTAATATGTTTAATAATAAACTTTCCTGTCACGTTATTAATTTGTTAGCTAACAATTTAAGTAATAAACTAATCGTTAGTTAAAATTCTAAATGGATGATTTTTTTAACAAAATTAATTGACTGTAATTATCTATTAATAAAGTTCCTGTATTGATTTATTTCTCACCGAATTATGCCTTTATCATACTTCAAAATTTTAAATTGTTCCTAAAAATAAGCAAAGAAGGTATTTAAACATTTTTCATAAAACTGCTTCGCAAAATATGAAGTAATATGTTCTTAAATATTCTAATATAACAAAAGAGAAAGTTAACCTTTAAGGGTATCTAAAATTTACAATCAATTAATTAAAAGATAATAAAATTTTCTACAACCTGGCCGTACATACTTTACAAATATAAACTTAGGATTTTTCTTTTTCGCATAAAAAGTATTTCTTAACCCTTTGACATAGAATTTTTTTAAGCATATTTTTCATACTTCTTCATTATTTTGTATTAATTTAGGTCAAAATAAGGGGAAAATATTCTTATTTAGCATTTTAATAATTTATGGTTATAATATACAGCATGAAACACCAACGTCTGCTTTTGTGTTACAGATAAAATATTCCAAACGACAATTTTTCAAACTTGCACTTATTTGAAGTTATTTTGATTGAAGTAAAACAGTTGTTCATCATTGAAGTTTCTTTAATTTACAAAATCAAATTTGTTTTCGAATATGAACGTGAAATTTTTTTTTCAAGCTATTTTTTTTCTTTTTGGATTTTATTTTTAATACAAATATAATTTCGATAATCTAACAGATTTTTGTAACTATTAGAATGTTTTTTATTACTAAAAAATACACGAAATATACTTTTGCTTGTAGAGTGTCAGAAAAAAAGAGGGGCCTAGTGTCTCTTCAGCGTCAGAGGGTTAAGCGAAGAATTCTTGTTACTCACACGGAACCTAAGCATCCACATAAAACAATTGTAGGCTGTAGGTTTTTTTGATAATAAATTGCAGTTTTCTCTCATAGTACGTTTAAGGTTATTTATTTTTAAAAATATTGACAGTAGTTTTTTGAACTTAAAATTTTGATCGTTATTTTAGATAAATGTGTATTTAAATAATCGTTGCTTCACGTTATAAGTTCAGGAGAATTATCTAGTAAAATAAGCTGAAAAAGTGGTAAAAATCAGACGATAAAGTTTTTTCGATATTTAGACAAAAGCAAACACTAAAACATATGTTCTTCAAATAAACATAACTTTTTACGACGATTTAGATTATTGACTCCCAAAATTGTGGAGGGGGCTAGATGCAATATAGAAATTATTATTACATTAGTTAAATCGAGAAAGCTGTCCAAACTTTTCTTCCCTTGATGTAATTTTACTTTTTGCGTATTTCACTATATCTTTGGAACAACTTAGATGAATTAAAATATTCTTGCTCACAATTATATGAATCCTTGTTCATAAGATAGTTGCATGCAATCTATAAATTTTTATTACTTAATTTAATAATAGTTTAAAACTGTTTGATTGTAAGATTTACAAACTTGTAACTTATTTTAAACTACGATATTTGAGAGGACAAAATAGAAATCTTAAACAATATCTACCGAAAAGTTTCTTACTTAAAAAATTTCAGAGAAGCCAGATTTTTATTTTTTCATTTATGAAGAACTATTCAAATTTCATTTTTTGCCAGTGATAATTACATAGTTTAAAATGAAGCAAAAAATAGTACACCTTACTATTGAAAAATTCTTCGACTGCGATTAAAATAAATAGAAAAGAATTATTTAAAAATATTTTTTGTACATAAAATTGTGTTTGATTAAATGCTTTTTATTGTTCTAGTCAGAAAGTTTTTAAATAGCTTAAATAGTTAAAGAGGTTTGGTGAAAAACACCAAGAAACAATAGAAGAAATTAACACTAAGGGGGAGTCCAAGCTTTCGACATCTCTACTGCTATTTTGTAGTGATCTTATTTTCCAGATTACGTCTACCTCCCCCGGTACTTTTATATAAAGTTAACAAACCAAAGTATCTTTATTCAGACAAATTACGTTTTTTTAACTTTTTTTTTTTTAAATAATCTTATTTCATAATTTGAAATATCGTCTGCAATAACATATTTTAGGTACCTTCGAATCATTATGATCTTGTTGAACGAATTAGATGTTGTTGTTGTTGACGACGTATGCCTGTCTAAGCAGAAGGGGTGCGATTGTTCTTGTTTTTCAGTGGCGCCATCTATGGCCAAGAATTCGACTTCTGCCACACCATACGTCACACCCGTTTATTGGGCGAACCCATTCATACATCCATTCACAGATCGTAATTTTGACCTGAATCAGAGAACGATCGATCTCCAATCCAGTACCCCCAGAGGTATTGATTTGTTATGGGAACATGGAGGACTTTTGTGACTCGACAGATTTAACGTACACCAGTCACTTTACTACACGGGGAATCTTCGGCCGGCGAACGAATTAGATCAAAAGTTATTAAGGTGAATCGTTCTTTATTTTGCGCACAGTACATTTAAATTAGCGTTAGTTAAAGTGACGTAGTTCTTTAATATTTATTTTGTTAGAATGATTTTTTTTAAAGTTTTCAAATTTTACAAATTTACCCAAATCTGAGAATAAGTCATATTTTTTATTGATATCTGAGACTTAAAATTACAGCACAATTTCAACGTTGGCTGTTTTTTTTCTTCCCAATGTACACACTAAAACCTTAAGTTTATAAGCACAGTGACCTCAAATTAATTTGCTCGCGGTCAAATAAAGTAATTACACAATATACGCTAACTCAAGTTATATTTTCAAACAACGTTTTAATTCTTTTTTTTCTAAACAGAGATGTGGGATGATTTGAAATGAAATCCATTAAATTACATAACCGTGAGCCATGCAAGGAAAACAACCCTTCGAAACGTGCAGCGTAAAATATCATGGCGGAACGATACTGACATGCACAGACGGGTAAATGAAGTGTTTTATTAAAACGGACTGTAGTTAATCGTGATGCACCTGCCTTATGGAACAGGTGCTAATCATCACGTGTTTCGTGTCGTTCGTGATTGTTCCATAACCAAGAGATTGGCACGTAACACGATGAATTAGGCCTAACCATTTTGGAATATTTTATTTATTTTAATTTTTCAAATGTATTAAGAACATATAATTATTGATAAAGTGTTTTTAACTTAGCCACTTAATGTCAGAAAATAAATGACATCGCTTTATTATTTACTCTTGAAAAAGCAGAAATATTTTTTAAAGTTATTACTGGGAAAAGGGGGGAGGAAACAGACTATTGTTGTATCGATTAAATTTTTAGAGCTATCGTGAGGGTGAAGAAATTGTCCACATATTTTTTTTTTTGAAAAATATTTTTAGTTATGAAAATATGAAAAATGTGTTTCGATTAGAAGCATCTTGATATTTATAATCTACGTATGGTTCTTAAATTCAACTGCTTTTCTACTTCTAGGGAAACTGCACAAGAAAGCTAATCATAGTTATAAAAACCATAGAATTATTAAAAAATAATCTATTTATACATTTTTAATATATTATTTAAGAGGAACTCCCCAAAAAAGGGAAATTTTTCCTTTCTATTTTACTGGACCTGCGATTCATAAATCACTAATAATACTTTAGTAATATTATTAATTTGGAAATAAAGTAAAGGAATACGAAAAAAATGTTAGCGTGCTCATTTTAAGAATTAAATACAAAAGAAATTTCTAAATTAAATTATTTGTTTCAATAGTTTAGATGAGAGTAATAATTTAGGTGTAGAAAGGGGAAAAAATTGACGCAGTTGGGACACTATTTATTATTTTTTTATTTTATGTATTTTATTTTATATATTTTACTTAAAATTACGAGCAAAAATATATTTTGGTATTTTTTAATTATGAAAAAGAGTCTAAGTGTTATTAAAAAAAATCTGTTAAATTATCGAAATTATATTTCTACTAAAATATAAAATCCAGAAAAAGTAGTTTAAAATTTTTTTGCTCCATTCATACTCAAAATTGTATCAATAATTTCTTTTGTAAATTAAAGAAATTTCAATTATGAATAACTGTTTCTATTAGTCCTAAATAATTGCAAATAAGTGTAAATTAGAAAAAGTACTGCTTGAAAGTGATCCGAGATTAAAGATTTTTACCTTTAACGCGGCGAAGATACCGGTGTTTCATGGTGTATTTTATAATCATAAATAATTTAAATGCTAAATATAATATTTTTCACTTATTTTGATCAAAATTAATGCAAAATAACGAAAAAAGTATGAAAAATGTGTTTTATAGAAATTCTGCGTCAAAGGGTTAAATGGCATAAATAATTAGTTGAACAAAAATGCCTTATTTTTAAATATATCTTAGAATATTCAAAAAGAAAGTGTTTAAAGTTAGAAAGAAAATGGAATAGAATCTAGGAAGCCGAAATACATAAAACCGTTTTTTTAAAAATAATGTTCTTTTTTTCTGTTAAAAGTATAAATATTTGAATCTTATCTCGTTTCTGATAAATTTCAAAAAAAAAAAAAAAAAAAATAGGAATTGCTGAGATTAATCTAATAATAAAAATTAGCTGATGTTGTATGTATTCAATTGCTTTAAAGTTGTTTCTTTTTTTTTCTCAAAATAGTTTAAATTTTGAATCTAAAAGGAAATGTTAAAAAATGTGCTTTTTTTATTTTAGAAAAAAAAAAAAAAGACTGAATTCATAATGTAAAACTATACAAACTCTTATTCCTTAATAAATCGATTTCTGAATAATTGGTATTAAAATTCTAAAATCGATTCATAATAGGTAGGTAGGCATTTTTTATTTTATTTACGTCGCACTAGAGCTGCACAATGGGCTGCAGGCGATGGTCTGGGAAACATCCCTAAGGATGATCCGAAGACATGCCATCACAATTTAGATCCTCTGCAGAGGGGATGGCTTCTCCGCTGTGGTATGCGCGTGAAGTCGAACATTTTACGGTAGAACAGTTTAACGATACAGCGCACCCTCGGTCCCTACGCAGGCTGATCAAAGTGGACACCCACCCGCTTACTGACCTCAGCCAGTGAGCTTGACTTCGGTGTTCTATTGGGAACCGTATCTTTACGATCAATCCAACAAAATAGGCCGCAAAGATATTATTTATATTAAAAAATTAAAAGAAAAAGAACACATGTGGAATATATTTTACAAGTAAAAATATATTTTGGTATTTTTTTAATTATAAAGAACAGTATACTAGTTGCTAAACACAATATCTTAGATTAACGGAATAATATTTGTTCTAAAAAAAAACATCCCCTCACAAAAAAAAGTAGTTTGTTGGATTGACGCAGATGGGACACTGGGGTCCCTTTTACACATATTTTTTCTGACAATGTAATTACAAGAAAAAATATATTTTGGTATATTTAAATTATACAAAGAACCCCGAGTGGAGAATTAAAAAATAAAAACATTATTTTAAAAAATAGTTGCAAACAAAAATACAGTTGTTGTTATTTTTTCTATTTCTATATTATTTATATAAAAAAAAGTAGTTTAAGAGTTCGCTACACCATACCTTCCAACATTTAAAGTTCATGTGAATTATTTTCTCCAGTAGTGATGAACTAAAACATTTTTAAAACAAAAAGATTTTTTATGAAACTTTTATCAGAACTTAGCTCCAGTATTTGTCGATTAGATTTTTTTGATATTTAAATTATTTATATATATTGATGGGCAAAATTCTTTTAATTCTAATTTATTAAAAATTTAAAACCAGTTATGCTACCTACGAAAGAAATATTTTTGAAACCAATAGCTGGAGGTCATGCTGCGCCTGTAAAATATTTTTTTGAAACTAATAGTTGGAGTTTAAGCTAAAGATGTAACATATTTTTTGAAACTTTGGAAAGTCCATTGTAGTTGGAGAACATGCTGAATATGTATAAACAAACGAAGATATCATTTCATATCATTGGGCATAATTACAAAACCTATAAAAATAGTTTTTTTCATCGAATTTGTTTACCACAGTCGTTAATTTCTTTACGTACCAGACAATAATAAACTGAAGATCAAAAGTTAAACACGCTGCCGCCCCTTTTACAAAGCAATCACGAGCTAATGATTCCAGATGTTTTCGTGCCACTTTCAAAATGAAAAAATATAAATAAAGCAAAATGATTGAGGGTGGAGATGAAGAACTCACATCAGCTTGTTGACCTTCCTGATCACCTGAGGTCGATCATTGAAACACCAGAAGCTCCTTCAGGTCGTGGAAACTGATTTTATTATTTTTTTTTCAGTGTGTGGGGAGGCTAAACCTGGTCAGCTGCTGGCCATTATGGGATCCAGTGGTGCAGGGAAAACTACATTGCTGAATGTCTTGACCAACAGAAACCTCCGACGTCTGAAAGTGAACGGTGAAATTCTGGTTAATGGACAGAATGTTGGGGAATCCATTGTCCGTCTATCCGCCTACGTTAGACAAGATGACCTTTTCATTGGAACTCTTACAGTTAGAGAACATCTTGTCTTTCAGGTGAGTGACATTACATGAAGTCCAAATTGAAAAACAATGACGAGTTACAAAATGCGATTAAGTGTAATGGATAGTTTCTCGTTTTGATTCCTATGCAACTTTCAAAATGTTTACCCTATTTAATATTTATAATAATTTGGATTTTGCTTTATGTCTATGACGTAAACGTTTTGAAAATTCGGCTCTTTGCAAATGGCAGACGTCACTTTGCAAGGTGCCAAAAAGATTAAGATTCATGTGAAGTCGGTAGATTGCTAAGAGAATAATTTTTCAATTTTGATATTTCTCAAAGCAACTAAATTTTGCCATCACTTCCTTAATTTTTGAAGTTTTTATTTTTAAACTTACATTTCGATAAAGAATTTGTTAAATATTTATTAAAAAGTATTTCCTTAGCCAAGAGGCAGTTGGAAATTATAATTTTATACAATAATTTTTTCAATGAATATGAATAAAATTACTTTTATATATTGTAATAGTTTAAGTTCTTATCGTATTTGCATATTTATCGTATTTGCTATTTTTTAAAATAAATATATAAATTAGTTCCATGCTTCATGTGTGGGACAATACGGTGTAATACCTAAATACCAAATTTATACGAAATAATACAGTCATAAATAGATAGCTGTTTTTAAGTACAGCATTAAAACTGAAAAATTCTCTTCTCATAGAAAAGAGCCCCACCTACTTTACTTGTCATACGTTAATAAATTGTTTCAGTTTCTAGCCCATAGTACCTTCAGTGTTAAAATATTTAGAGCATTTAAAAGAAATTAAATTTGTTCATATAGTGTGCAATTAAATATAGAGAGAAAAGTTCGAAATTAACGGTGATTTTAACGCTAGATAACTAAACATTCGTTTAATAGACTACCGACCACTATCAGTTTTGCGAATTCCAGATACACTCTCACTACCACATTCACAAACTCTTACCGTCAATACCTCTTTTAGTAGTAAAATGAGGTAATAAACACGGCTTTACACTTTTTACTTTTCAAGATTTGCTGCAATTGTTGTCCCACAGTCGAATGTTTAGTTCCATAAAAATAAACAATAAATATATTTTAAATATTGAAAGTTCACAGTGCGGCGAGTTTGTATGTGTGTTTAACTAAGAAAAGCAGAATGATAAAATACGCATGCAACTACTGCAACAAGGCTATTTGTGGAGAACTGACTTTCAACATCTGCCGAGATTGCAAACGATAATTTTTACCAGATTTATATTTTTTAAATAAAATAGAATAATGTTTTTAAGTTTACGCTAATTTGTTTAAAATAAGTAATAAAATATAAAAGTATACTTGTTTTTAATTCGTAATCTACATACCAAATGATTAATAATTTTAATAATTAATAATTTTAACAGATTGACACTGAATAAGTTTAGTTATCTAGGGTTAAAACTATTCATAAAAATAGAATTCTTCATCAAGTGTACCAGTCGATACGTACTATTTACTATGTTTATCTTTAAATATTAATTTATTTAATTTATTATTTTTTTTAAAAATCTAAATTTGAATTCAAATGAATTATATTTCTTTGTCTTTGGAAGGCGCTTTTACGAATGGATAAACAAAAATCCTACGCAGCAAGAATGCAGAGAGTTGACGAAGTTATTGTGGAGGTGAGTTCTTGACTATTTTATGTGTCTCATATAATATAAATACCTTGTGCTTGTATCATAACGAATGCTTTTTAAAACTGATGTTTTAAACTTTCCGGTTGGAATATTAAGTCAAGTCTAAAATATGTAATTGGGATCACAATAGTTTATTTAACAGAAAAAATTAGAAGAGAAAGAAGATTTAACAATTTTGACTAATTAAACTATTTTTCATTTCATTTTTCCAAAAATTGGATTCAGAGTTTTACCATTTAAAATGTAGTCTGAAATTATTTATCTCCCATAACGTTTGAGTGCGTCTATATTTTTATTACAAATAATATTTAGGAATAAAAAAGAAATGGTTTTAAGAAGAAAAAAAATGTAAATAGCATTGAACATTATTTCAGCAGCATTTTAATTTTAAACTTATGAATTAGAACACAATACAATTGACAGACGATACTTCAGCTACACACGTGACCGACTTGGTGTTCCAGTCCTGTCCTGAAATACTAAACACACTTCAATTTATTAAATACATTTTTCGTGCTTATGCAATCGAATACATGCGATTAAGCTGACATTATGGCCCGTACTATTATGACACGTATGAGAATAAATACAATGACATTCTGTAATATGGGTCAATTCTATAAACTTTAAATGAATGAGGTAAGATTATTCATATTATTGAATTTTGAACTTTACGATCTTAAAACTGACACTGGCTCACCTTAAGGAGAAACAGTAATGTGTTTATCGCTCATCAAGGAGCTTTATAATAACATTTAGCGTTATAAAGGAATTTTTTTTATTCATATTTTAAGAATATAAAAAGTAACATATGAAAAATATAATTTTTTAAAATTATCATTCAAAATTTTTAAAAATCAAGCTGTTTTCTTGTTTGAACTTATTTTTAGAGTTCATTAGAAAAAATCATTAGAAAATTTTTAAAAATCAAGCTGTTTTCTTGTTTGAACTTATTTTTAAAGTCCATTAGAAAAAGTCAACAATAACAAGGGATTTTTATACTCCAAAGGTGAGGTCAGGGTAATTTTACGTAAATATTACAAAAAATAAATATTTTCCGTTCTTTGTAGAGTATAATATAGATAGCGATTAAACGAAAAAATAATAATAACAATAATTAAATTTGAATTTTTGGCAGAGTTGTCTACAAAAAAAATATTATTTCTGATAAAATTTGCATTATGTTTTGTTATTTAAGAAAAAGTTGCTCTAGTTCAACAATTTATACAGAGAAAGTTTTGAGAAATCTCAGTAAAATCAGGCATAAGAAACCTAATTTACCAATTCCCTCCAAAATAGAGCTATTTTTAATAACCTTTTTATACTTGCTTTATTAAGCCTTAATAAGTCTTGACGTCCAATACAAAAAAAAAAAAAAAAAGAAAAAAAAAAGGCATCACAAGAAGTGAAGATCGTCATAAAATTGGAAGAAGTGTGGGTCTTTCGGAAGGCAGAAGAGTTCCAGAGGTGCTCATAATTCATGCCAACATTTTCCTTACTCAAAAGGCAGTTGGGAAAGTCAGTTAGTTCAATATGGTATAAATGTGCCTGTAGAAAATAGTGCTCAGTCAGTAGTCTGAAACCTCGGATTTCGTGCTTTACTTATATTTTAAAATTTTTCAGATAATCAGGAGAGATACATTTATTTATGGCAGGTCAAGGGCAAATAACATAGAATAGTATAAAATTTACTTAATTAAAAAATTAGTTTGGGAAAGTAAATTTTAAAATAAACAACAATGAAACAAATAATTAGTTTGCCAATCTTCTGATGGCAGTATCTGAATCTAAGAAGAGTTTTTTTTTTTTTTAAAATTAATATTAATTAATTTCTTTTCTTAGTCTGCCATCTACTAGAATGATTTTAAAACTGCGTTTAAACAGGCAGGCTAACAACAACCATGTTGTCTTAGTCGAGAAATTTGTTATTTTATTTTTTTCAAGGATTAAGACAAAGTATTTGAGTGATCTTCTTACGCCTCACATCGGACTTAGATAATATCACTGTTTGATTTTCCTATGCAAAGTGCGTAAAATCATTTAAGTTTGGCACAGTATAGCCGATTCAAGCTCCTTCTACATCAAACTCTACAGTGTTTAATCTACTCTACACAAAATATGAACATTATTGGAATGATTAACATGTTAAAACGCTGCTTCTTGAAGAATAATCTTTATTTCTAGAAGCAAAACCAAATACAAAAGTAAATTATTATTATTTTTTCCAGTTTGTTCTAAGAAAATTACGATAAAACGTTAATTATTTTTTTTTTCAGTTGGGTTTAAAGAAATGTACTAACACTCTGATCGGCATTGCTGGAAGACTGAAAGGTATTTCTGGTGGTGAAGCAAAAAGACTTGCATTTGCATCCGAGGTACTGACGTATATATTTTATAAATGAATTGATTATAAACATAAACATCTGCATGTTTACATTATTATTTAATTTTAAGTATTACGTTTCATAATTTCTCAATTTTTTGAATTATTTTTTCATTAGCATTAATTTACAGTTGCTCATTCAAAGATTTAAATACACCCGATGATCAATTTTCATTGTTCATGAATATAAATATGCATACAATTTCTTTCTACAAAACTTTAAAAAAAAAATTATACATATCCATGAAATCGTATTTACTCATTTTATTTTATATTTCGTAATTGACGTTTAACAGCAGAGTTTAATGTTCAACTTTGCAGTCTTTTAATTTTGAACCCAACTCAGAAGACAAGGGAAATCCTCGGAGAGACGAACGCTCTACCCCCTGAGATAGCGCGGCATTGTATTTACTCATTTTATTTTATATTATAACCGTCGTTGAACAGCCAACCCAATTCTTTGTGTTTACGACAACAAATGTTTAAATCCGTAGCCTAATAATTTTGAATCCAATCCAGAAGAACAGGGAATTCCTGGATCAAGTATTGGGAAGTACTTTGCCTTCGTAGATTACTTTTTGATGGAACTTACCCACATTTGCGTTGCATGGAGATGAAAAGCACGAAAACCTCCCACGGTTAGCCTGAGTGTTAGGGGAATCTAACCTATGATCTGTCTACCACTGAGGATATTTAACGTCGGCTCTGTGGCTGGTGCGATCCGGGAGCGGAATTCGTATCGACAAGCCATCGCTAGGATTCGGACCCAGTTCACACATCATTGGAAGGCAAATGCTTTATCCCCTGTGCTGACCTGAAATATCCTCAGTGGTAGACGGATCATGGGTAAGAGTCCCCTTTCCGTTAGGCTAGCTGATGAGGTTTTCGTGATTTTCTCTCTCCATGTAACGTAAATACGGGTTAGTTCCATTAAAATGTCCTCCACGAATCCAGATTTCTCTCGGTATTTGATCCAGGAGTTCCCCTGTCTTCTGGATTAGGCTCAAAATTACAAGGATACGGAGTTGAACAGTAGTAGTCGTAAACCCAAAAATTAGGTCAGCAATATTTTTACCGTCGTTGAACACAACGACGGTTATAATATCTTTACCATTAAAAAAATTCTATTTTGACATATCTTGGCATTGTAGTAATATTTGGAAAATCAATAGACCCTTAACTTTTTCTTCGACTAGTCTCGTCCATATTTTCAAAAGCTTATTAAGACTTTAGGGTAAGTTTTGCGTTTCTCTCACTAGGTTACGTTTTCAGTAATACGTCAAAAATAATCTTGTGATAGGTTATTAAAGAATGCTGTTAAATACTAAAGACACTTTTTATGAAAAAGTGAGAAGATACAATACGCATACCATCCCAACAGTCTTTGGTGAAGAAGATCTGATAATCAACTTCCCTCAGGTAGAGATCTGAAGGCTTACGTTCATTATTCTTCGTCAGTCTTTTGAATCTCTCCCCGAGAGAAGTTGAATTTGCCGCAAGAAGAATGGAACTGAAGAAATGATTGAAGGCTTAAAAATGTTTGATCTGTTTTACCATAAATTAACGATTAGGAATTGATGTGCAACATAGTGGCATGACGGAGTTTGCACGCAAAGATTTATTGAAAAATTATTACTCTAAAAAAGCCATTACAAGCAATTTATACATATAATTCATATTTTTCTGCGTAAATTGCATCAATTGCAAGTTATCCAATTTATGTTGAATTTTGGAATTTTTTTATATCAACAAATAATTTTTCAAATTTACACGATTTGGTTGTCAGATATTGTGGGTTTGGAGAAGTATTTAGAGTTAAATTATTCTAGTTATTCTTTGTAGTTTAATGCACAACCTGATAGACTGAACTTCACCCTTCTGTTTTATTTATTGCATTAATTTTAAAATTTTCATTACGCGAATTAAAAAAAAAAAAAAAACTTGCCTTTTGAGTATAAGTCCCATAATTCGCCTATCAATGGCACTTTTTCTATTTTTAGTAGTACGTTGGAAAAGTTAGAAGTGGCATGCATATTTTTTTTTTTAAAATAGCATCGTTGGATTTGAATTATTTAGAATATTGTAGCATGTGAGTAAATTATGATTAACGAGTTTGGAATCATTTAAAGAATGGAAATGTTTTGAACTTATTAATAGATTGGAATATTCATTCTTATGGTTTATAATAGAACGCATGACTGAAGACCTCGAGGATGAAAAGCAATAAACCACATTTTTGTAGTTTAAGAGATAAACAGATTTTCTTGTCATATATATTACACAGATAATTTTTTTTTTATGAAAGTGAACGGGAATTGCATTGTTCCGCAGATACTCATACTACTTGGGCAAGATGGAAGGCCTTAATTAATATGATCATAAACCAGTAAATAAATCGGGAAACAAATTTCAAATTATTAGTCCTTTTGAAGTCTCTTGAAAATCTGTTTCAATATCTGGTGTTTTTTAATTTTGCGTGGCACAGAGTAACTATACATGTGACACCGTGTACGGATTGTAATAAATATATATTTTTTTTACCCATCAATCGTAGATCATAACCAATCCATCACTTATGTTCTGTGACGAACCAACATCGGGTCTTGATTCCTTCATGTCACAGAGTGTCATCTCCGTCCTTCGTGACATGGCTCATAGTGGAAGAACAATTGTCTGCGTAATTCATCAACCATCATCAGAAGTTTTTGAATTGTTCGACCATTTATTGCTCATGGCTGAAGGAAGGGTAGCGTACAGAGGCAGGGCCTCCAGAGCATTAGAATTCTTTGAGCGGTAAGTAAACAAGCTACAAAACACTATTTTAATAAACAGACAAGTTTTTTTCAAGACCAATGCAATCAAGTAAACAATTTTTTTTTTAATCACCGTCGTTGAACAGATTTTGCCATCACAATTTTGAGTTTATGACTACCAATGTTCAAATCCATAGACTTGTAATTTTGAACTCCATTTACAAGACAAGGAAACTCTTGAATTAAGTATTTGGAGAAATTTGCCTTCGTGAAAGATTTTGTAGTTGTTGATGGAACTAGCTCGTATTTGCGTATTATGGAGAGGAAAACGACGAAAATCTCCCACGGTTAGTCTGACGGCAAGGAGGCACGACCCGTTTATCGCTGAGGATATTTTACGTCAGCACTGTGGCGGGTGAGAGTCAAGTGCGGAGTTTGTAACAAACAATATTGACTTTCCGAGTAGGGCGTATATACGATATTTATATCGAGTTGAGTATATACGTAATACTATCCATGAGCAGCGTTTGGGCCGTGATGACTCAGGGGATAGAGCATTTGCCTTCCAAGGAGGTGAACCGAGTTCGAATCCTAGTGATGACTGGTCGATACGAATTCCGCATCCGGCTTGCACCGATCACAGTGTAGACGTAAAATATCCTCAGTGCTTGATGGATCATGGGTTAGAGTCCCCTTCCCATCTGACTAACCTTGGGTGGTTATTTTCCTCTCCATGTAACGCAAATGCAGGTTAGTTCCATCGAAAAGTCCTACACTAAAAATAAATTTAATAAAAATCAATACTTGATTTATAAGGTAAGCATACTAAGCGTAAGGTTTTCATTTCCCCCATGTTTAATGCATTTCATTTTATCCCTTAAGGATTTATCGTACGAAAATCATAATGGCAATAATTGAAATAGACATAAATACTACCTCCCATAAGGGTAAGATATATTTAAGTTACGCTTAGAGACATAAAAACAAAATGCATAATTTAAAAGCTGTAACTTTATTCTTAAGCAATCAACTACGAGGAAAGCTCTTCGGAAGAAATTAATGGCTACTTCTAATAGACCGATCTCTTTGACTATGAGGATTAGTTTTTTGCAAAAATCTTTTATTTAAAGTAAAGTAAAGTAAAGCATTCCTACAATAACAAATGGTGGGCCGGAGGGATCACAAAGGTTAAGGCTCCACAATTTCGTGACCAACTGCATGATTGTGACAATGTAGTCAGAACAAAGGCACATGCTGCCTTTACTTCCCAGACAAGCTGGTACCCATCGATCTGAAGTTTGATGGGCTTCTAGCCCTCACTGGTTATCGAACCCCGGTCTTTCACAATGGCAGTTCAGTGCCTTAACCACTGAACCATCTTTAAGAGCTTACAAAATTTAGCATTTTTAAAAAATTAAAAATAGTGTTAGGCCAAACTTAAAAACTTCAAATGCGATTAGAAGTTCTTTAAAATCGATTCTTTTTCTTCCGACCTCTTTTGATTACAAGAGGCAATATACAAGTTTATAAGACAATGAAACTTAAATAAATTAATAATACTAATAGGGCTGATAGGATACTTCAATTATTGTTCTAGAGCTGGTCTGCGCTGTCCAGTCAACTATAATCCAGCTGATTTTTACATTCATAATTTGGCTATAGTCCCTGGAAACGAAGAAGAATGTCGCGCGAAAGTGGCCGTGAGTATTTTGCTTTTCAATATTCTTAAATTAGAAGTTAAATTAAATCAAAATTATGAAATAGTTGAAAGTGTTCTAAATATTTGAAAGCTCTTGATGTACCCTTGTGATTATTTGCTAAAAGTATCTGTGATAAGTTGTGCGTCAGAATGACGTTGTACAATACAAATTTTAAACTAATTTTCTGTCTATTGCGTCATTCTGACCAGACTAATTAAAATGGATATTTTTATCACCTGACCAGAGCAAAGACCTATTAGAGTTGAAAGAACATCGCTAACAATGAAAGCTAATGATACATTGGTTTAACACGTTATTTTTATTCAAAACGTTCAAGTGAATATTTAATTTTAAATAGACAGTTTCAATAATATAAAAATACTTTCCCGGGACTTTAAATATACGATTTGCTTGAAATCAAATATTTTGTTGAATTTTATTTAAGAAAGCTGGAAATTGAATTATTCGATGTTGCATTTATGAAAAGGTGACATTTAATAACTTAAAAACTCTGGTCTGACTGGTCAGAATATACATATTTTTTTTAAAATTTCGCGACTAGTAAGGTTACTTTGTTTGAAGTACCGTTAAATTCAGTGAAAGAAAATATTTAACAGTGCAAGAAAAGGAAACGACAATTTCAGAATAGAATATATTTCTTTAAATTATACCGCAAGTCAATATGACTTTATTTTATTCAGTTTACGGTTTAGCTATAAGCAATAGTAGAAACTTATTGAGCTATTTTAATTACTGCCTCTTAGGATTCAAGTAAAAAAATTGCAACAGGAGGTTTAATAATTGTATGCTTGATATCAATAATCTTGGAACAAGATATAAAAATGGATTTAAAAAATAAATATGATAAAAGTAAGGCGTCCTCCAGTAACTCCATTTCTTGTATTTGAGAATGAAAAAGAAGCAAACACGTGATTGACAATTGAGTAAGTTTAACACTTTAACGCAGAATTTTTACTAAACATATTTTCCATAATTTTGTATTAATTTAGGTCAAAATAAGTGAAAAATATTATATTTAGCATTTTGATAATTTATGGTTATAAAGTTCAGCATGAAAAACCGGTGTCTTTTTCAGGTAAAATTTTCCTAGCACGAATTCTTCCAAATAATCTTTTTCAAATTTGCACTTATTTGGATCTAAGAGAAACAGTTATTCATCATTAAAATTTCTTTAATTTACGAAATCAATTATTAATAAATATTTGAATATGAATGAAAAAAATCTTTCAAAGTACTTTTTTTAATTTTATATTTTAATTCAAAGGTAATTTTAATAATCTAACAGAATTATTTAGTAACTATATTAGACTGTTTTTTTTTTTTTTTTTTTGTTATTGAAACATACCAAAATATATTTTTACTTTAAATTAGAGCGTCGGAAGAAAAAGATAAAGCGACACCAGTGTCTTATATGCATCAAAGAGTTAATGACAATAGTAAAGTGAAAATTAAAATAATTTTTTCACCAGTTATTTAATGATTTAACTTTTTATCTTAATTAATAATTTTTTTAAAAAAATTCCAGGCTATATGCGATCAATTTGATAGGGAACAAACTACAATAGAAATAACTACTTCAGAAGGATATTCCTTTGTGGTAAATATATTTTAAGTCTCTTGGTCTAAAAGTTTCTTCTTATATAACTTAGAGAAAATATATAATTTATAACCGCTTTAAGTTGTTAGCGAGATGGACGAAAAGAAATTTGTGAAGTCTCGCTAATTTAAATTTTTGTTCGCATTTTTATTAAAAATGATAGCTAAACCAAAAATTTCTTTTCATAACCATTAAAAAAATAGAAATATAATAGGTTAGAGTCATTAATATTCACTAAAATATATAGAACGCATAAGGAGCAATGCAACATATTGGAATTGAAGGGCTTGAGGTAATATAATGATAAGCCACCTCACCTATACCAACTCTTCAAGAGAGATTTTGGTGACTAACACCGTGATTTCCGTGTATACAATTATTGCGCTGTTACCAAATGACATTTGCAGAAACTAGCAAAATAGCTATCAGCAAACAATACCTAGTAGCAGTTTGATGAAAAAAATATCCTCTTTCAAAATATTGTACCCTATCGTACCATATTGTTACAAGCCTTTTAAATTTTTATGAACTATGATTAAACATAGAACTTTTGAAGATATATATAGAAAAATGTCCGACTAATAAATAATGAAATGAAGCTCAATAAATTTTTGAAATATGTCTTTAAAAATTCCAAATTTTATGAAATAGTTATGGGAAAAATAATCAAACTAATGGAAGGAAAAAAAAAAAAAACTGATCACACGACGTAGTCTAAATTATAGCTAGCAAGCATCTGCATAGATAACTAACGTTTTATTCCAATATATACATACTGTTTTCCGATTTTAATGCAAGTTTTGTAACTCATTAAAGAACTAACATAAAGTAACTCATAAAAGAAGTGAAGGTAATCTAAAGAATTTCCTATTAGTCGAAAGTTAAAATTTCTTGTAGAAATTCGAAGAGTTAATAAAATTTCTTTTAAAAGAATGGCTTAATATTTTTTTAAAAATAATTATTGATTATTTTTTTATTTTAGGATTCTCAAATAAAGCCCCAGTCAAGGTAAGCATAATTTAAGTTGCTTAAAAATTGCATGTATTTTTAAACTGTATCTCATACGCACCCTGATCGCTTGTACACATACGGTTTGTATTTATATAACCCGAAAAAATTATGGAAATTTGGTACATTTTGATAGATATGTTTAAGTGACATTTTGAGAAAATATTAGTCAGTAAATCGGCCAGTAAATCTTATACAAATAATTAAAATTCATGCTTCTAATTCTTTTTTTTTAAGTATTTATTTATTTCCGTTTTTTGATTCTATTTTTGTGGTCATGCATGTAAATTTACTACCACCACGATTTTATAAATTTTTTTATTATATGTTTTTAAAAGTTACGTAGCTGCCATAATTACATAACTGCCATAATAGCTGTTTCGAACTAGGTACAAAGCTGGATGGTTTTCCCAGTTCAGAGCAGTACTTTGGAGATCATGGATCAGTTTAATTAGAGAACCAATGCTCACAAAAGTCAGATTTCTACAGAGTATAGTGAGTTACATGTTTTTATAATAATTTTAAACTATTCAGTATCGCAATTTTATATGCAAGAAATTTTAATTAGTGTACTCAGGAAGGGTATAAAATACATGGTTGAAATAATAATTACCAATATCATTTATCAACTTTTATTAGGATAAAAGTAATTATTAGTTCCCCCCCCCCTAGATATCAATTTTTTTATTACTGAACTAAGGACATTATACAATCATATTATTTATATAAAATGCAAGATATATTAATTTAAAGTTTTATTTCATCGGACGATTTTGTATAATGCTTTCAAAATGTTTATTATAAGGCAATGGTATGCTGTTCAAAAATACTCAATGAATATTTTACATCTTCGCCCAAGTCAAAATTCTTGATGGTCCAACATCATTTGATGGTGACCATCATCCAACATTTTCCATTACGTGTTTATGATTTTTGATATGCCAACAAACTCATCATTCATGGTGGAAAATGCTACTTTAATACAACGATGGTTAACCATCAAGAGAAGTTTGATTCTCATGGACCAACAATCCATGATGGTTCAAACTATACATTTCCATGATGGTTTGATGGGAATTCTTGTAGGTTCTCAGGAATATACCATCAAAACAATTTGGGTTTTATTATGTGGGACCATCATAAATCAGTCCGAATTCCTACATTGGGATGATGGTTGTTCATGATCGTTCCAATATTTGATTTCTAAGAAACTATGAGGGAAATCCGTAATGGTTCAGCATGAACAAACCATCAAAACAAGCTGCAATTCTTATGTTGAACCATCATAAATCAGTCCAAATTCCTGGATTGAGTTCATGGTTACTTATGTTGGCTACCTTAAAAAAATATAATGGTTTATGATGGAATTATCGATGGTTACCATCAAGATTATGTTGGTCCATCAATGGAAAACCATAAAATTTTTTGACTTGGGTATGGTTGATACGCAACGAAGAGGAGGACAGAACTTACAGTCCAACGAGTAGAGCTTTGTGTTCCTCAGCGTTATCATACAGAATTAAAAGACTATGGCTGCATTATGAGGTTTTCATTACAGAGTTTAGAAAAATTGAAAAATCCTTAGTTCAATGTCATGATTTTAATCAGCTTCTGAGGAAGAAAAAAAACGATGAATTACTAATTGTCACAAAACACATTCGTAATTATTACAGAATATTTTTTTGTTATAGATATAAGAACCAAAGCATTCAAGCAAAATTTATTGAGGTGGTAGTAAAAACTGGAAACTATCCACTAAATCTTATTCTAAATTTATCACCATCTTTCATTTTATTTTTCAATTACTTTTTAAGGGGCATTCGTCGTTATACAATAAGGCTTTTTTAAAGCATTCTTTATCGCTGAATGATTCTAAATAATGAGCTAAAGTGAAATTAAGATTATTGTTGTCAGCGTGAGCAGAAATAAACTTTAAAAAAAACAAAACAAAAAAAACATTATCTCTTTTAAATATTGAGCAGCTACTTAGGCTAATTAAATTTATAGACAGTTCATATCGAAACGCTGATTAGAAAAATACTTTATATTGTTCTAGTTCGAAACAATTTAATTATTTGTATTAAAAAAAACTTTTAACTTATTTTTAGGTCATTGCCCTTATTCTTGGTCTTGTATACCTAAATCAAAGTTATGATGAAAAAGGTGTGATGAACATAAATGGCGCTCTCTTCCTTTTGCTCATGAACCTCACTTTCCAGAATATGTTTTCTGTTGTAAATGTAAGTTTAAAATGTTTTATTTCCTGATAAGTCATTATTTCCCAGTTGAATTCTTATGAATTATAACAACCATTGAGAGTGATGTTTTATCTGTGTTTTTTTTCTCTTCATATTTATAAATTATTAGATACTTATGATTTTTTTTTAACTTCTTGTTTGAAAAGAAGCATTTGATGTATTAGCGCAGATTAATAGATCAAAAAATATTTTTCATTTCAATTTGCCATTAAACAGGACAGACTATCAAACTCTGTCTTGTGGATTGCAAGCTCAAAGTCCAGTGTGTGGGGAATTAAGTAAACATATAAGGTTTCTGCATTTGAGAGTTTAATTATTTAAAAATTTAGGCTAGTAGGCATTTAGAAACATTAAGAATTGAAATTAAAACTTCAGGCAGTTTTTTACTTTTAAACTGAAAATTTTTGGCTAATTTTTAATTAATATTATTTTTACATTTCAGGCTTTTACTCTTGAGCAGCCTATATTTTTACGGGAGCATTGGAATGGGATGTATAGGACTGACATTTATTTTCTGAGCAAAACGCTTGCCGAGGTAATTTTTTTTTTGTCTGATTTTTTTTTCTTCTGAATAATTGTTTTTCCTGATATATAAAATATAGCTGCCGACATGGATAGGAAAATATCCAAAAAATGTTACAAAATAAAATAAACTTTACGATGATTGTTGCATAATGTTCTAAATATTTTACACATAGGGAACGTTAGAGATTTTTAGAATGATCAAAATAGGAAAACTGCAATATTATACCAGTTATGATGAACATTAGATAAATCATAATTTAGAATCATTATTGGCATTTAATTCATCGAAGATAGTTAAAAGATTTTTTTTAATTAATTTAAAAAGGAAATTCTGAATTAAACTAAACTAAAAATTTTAGAACAAAAAAAAAAGTTTTAAACTCAATTCTATAAATGAAGCTGGCTTCACCATGTGTTAGTAATAATACTTACTTAAATATTCAAGCAAGCAATAATCTGAGCAAAAATTCAATTTCAATAAGGATTTTTTTTTAGAATTTACTAAATTTTAGGGAACTTTCTAGAATGTACAAAAGCCAGGAGAATTTTTATTAAAACAGAAGACCAGGAGAAACTGGCAAAATCCAATAGTCTACTGGAAAATCCAACAGAGTTGACAGCTATGATAAAAGGTTCATATTTTCTGTTATAAACTTCATGTAGGCAACTTTCTATAATTTTCTTTAAGTTAAGAAACACCCATAGAAAAACACTTTAAGAATGTATAATATATAGTGCTAATATATCAAAGACCAATTTAAGGAACATTTAAAATCATTTATATACTCCCCTCACAAAAAAGTTGAACGTGATCATTTAAACAGCATGAACAATTTTGTCCCATTCCTCAGAAACAAACTTTTAATTATTTTGAAAAAATGAATGGAGATGGACGTTTAAAATTGAACATTCCTTTCAATTTAACGCTTACAGAGTTTGAAGACCACTGGAAACAAAATGGTTATAAGTGTCAAATGGTAAATTCTGGAACGAATTGATTTGTTACTTGTAAGAGCATTTCAAGTAAGCGCGGCAGGTGCAATTAGAGGAAACTTTATTTTTTAAATCCTGGAGAGCTCATTTAGTTCTGATTTCTGACATAGGTTTCAATGCAGTCTCTAAAACTCTGATGATACTTTAGAAATTTCAAGAAAGAAAAACTTTTATAAAAAACAAATATTCGACTAGAGTTAACTCTACTTTGTTCTTAACTGGGTTCAATAAAAAAATTTATTATTTTTAAAAAGAATCAAATTACAGATATTTTGTTGCGTTCAAAACCCTGATCTTCCTCCAGCAGTCAACCGAATTTAGGGGAATGACTGCAGCAATGGACAGCGGTAAATCAGTTCTTATACGAAAATCAAGTGTCTGGCTCAACTATGAAAAAAAAAAAAATCCCTTTCAGCTCTCTCAAATTGGCAAATTAAATGTGGTCGTTTGTTTCATCGCCAAAGCAAACACTTTTTCGCGATATGGTGCAATGGTGCGCGGTAGCGAGAATCTTGCATTAAATAATAATAAAAAAAAAAGGAAATTGTGTTTAGTTTTATATTTTACTAGTGGGCTGCGCTTCCTGCTCGCTAACCCCCGAAAATTGCTACGCAATCTTATATGGTTTGCTTTGCAAACCAACCTCGCTTCGCTCGCTGCTAACATAGGTACATTGCAAATGCACAAAATTCTAAGAATTCAAAACAATAATTCAAATCCATATAAAAACTTTAAAAAAAATAAACGTCTTTTTAGTAAATACTAAGTTATTAAAATAAATTTGAATTCAAATAAATGGCATGTAATTCGTTAAACCTATTAGAAATGTGCTATAGTATAAAATCTTAAAGCGTAACAGCACGACTGAGACTCATTTTTCAATGAATAACTAATAACAATAATAAAACAAATAAATTCGTGATATAAATCAAGAATCGTGAAATAAATTCGCAATTCGTGAAAAAAGCGCTTTCGACAAAACACTAAAATAAAGATCTATCGACAAAGACTACTCACTTCTGCCTAGCTTAATAGTATGAGATTGCCGCAGCTGATACGGTGAATTTCGGAAGAGTTGGTGAGAATGCTCTCTCTGGTTATTTCCGTTTCCGTTTTTAAAAGCGCTATATGTTGAGCCACCTCAGCTAGATTTGGCATGTGACATTTTTAGCGGCAAATCATTGGTCGATTTTCTAGCGTTGCCATTCGGGGAGTTGTAATGAGGTTTTTTTTTGTCGCTGTGTAAGAGAAATATATAGATTGATGCTTCATATTTCTTTCGCAAACAGATTCAATATTTTAACAAAACCAATAATTAAAAAAAAAAAAAGATTTTTAACAACGTTTAAATTTTAAAACATAAAAATAATTAATAAATATGCTTTATTTATGCATTTTTAAAATTAAATATGGTATTAGTACAAAAGAATAGCTGTGAGTTCCAGTGTTAATTTTTATTAAATATTTTTTTAGCTACATTCCCTAGTTAATAAGCATATAATATAATATTTTATAGCAATTATATTTTTAAATTAACTTTTTACTCAGTTAAAGAATCAAAGTATATTCAATATGACATGTGAAAAATATTTTTTCTCTTACCTAAGAAAAATTAATATAATTTAAAAGCAAACTAGACTTTTTTATTTCTAAAGAAGCATATAAAGTGCCCTTATTTCTGCAGAGCAGCGGTTCCCGTTTTTTGTAACGTAGCTGTAAGATAATCCTCCCCCCCCCAGTTCATTAGCTGAAAATAAGAAAGATAATATTTAAATTTATGATAAACAAAAAATTATTAAATTACACTCAGGGAAGAGTAAACGAATAATAAAAATGTTTTTTTCCCCCATTAATATTTCTAGCATTTTAATTGCACATAAAGTACTTTTTTTCTGAGATTTTCCAGCGCATTTTATACTAAATTCTGCAAACCGGAATTTGCTAGCAAATTAGAACTCATCTCATTCCCTGCTTGAAACTGCATGCATTGTTTTTCAAAGTCCTGCAGAGAAAAAATATTTAAACATGCATGTCTTTCTTTCTTGATATTGTTCCTCAATCTATCTTTGTTTAATAATTTTCAGGCACCTATACTACTAATCGTGACAGCTTTATTTGTGGTCATAACTTATTGGATGATAGGTATGTTATAATGCGATCTCTCATTGAACTTATTTTTATTTGCCGTATTTTAAATATTACAAGCTATTTTAAATAATCTCTTGAACTATAAACTAACCTTAATAGATTCTCGAGAAATAAATTAAAAAAGTTTAATTTTTAAAGCTTTTTAATTATTGGCCAAAGCTAATTGATTTTATAGTTTAAATTTAATCATTCAAAATTAAATAACCAACATTATCAAAATTAAACACAATAATCCTTCAATAAATTGCGTAGTAGGAAGAACAAATATATATATATATATATATATATGTAACATAAAAAGCTTCAATTAATCTTTATGTTAGTTATATTCTGAATATCTATTTATTTTATTAATCTAATCGAAATGCTTTCTCACACTTTTAAATTCACATCCTGTCCTTAAATCTATTTTTGGCTCAACTATGCATCAATTAAAAGCAGGACATTTTCCCCTTTAATCTTCGTGGGAACCACTTGACCTATTTCATAAACCAATAGTAATTTCTAAGATTTCCCGAAATAGAGACATTTACGGATTTTACTTTGCAAGATTTTCCCTAACATATAACCGAGGAGCGCAAATTTTTGTGTTCATACTTTCATAACTGCTCTGTCTAATAATTAATAAATAAATTTTGTACCCTCCTTCCCTGCCTAAGACCTGTTTTAATCCTTCCACTCGGCAACGATGTTACATATATATATATACTATATATAAATACGTTTGGCTCATGTCCAAAAGGTCATGAGTTCGATCCCCGCTGGCTGAAAACTCTCCGTGTAGCAAATGGCAACTGGAGCACGTTAACTTTGTCGTGTTACTATGTCCTCCATGTTCCCATAACAAATCAATATCTCTGGGGTACTGAATTGGACATTGATCGTTCTCTGGTTCAGATCTAAATTACGACCTGTGGATGAATGAATGGGTCTGCCCTATAAACGGGCTGTGACGTGTGTCTAGCTGAAGTCGTATTCTGCCTTAAATTCGCTTGGTTTCACCAAGCAGGCTTGCTGGTATTTAGCAAATGGCATTAGATACAATATACCCTAACTTTCTTATAACAACTTCCATAGTCAAAATAAAAAGTAACTATTTACAAGTGTATAAAAATTTTTTACACTAGTAAATAGCTAACTTTACTTGTAGCTCCTAAATTCTAATCTGCATCCTGTAAATAATAGGCTTTTCTTGTAACTCTTTTTATAAAAAAAAACTTCACAATTTATTATTTTCAGATTAAATGACTTCGGAATTGATTAACGACAGAACTGAAATCATGAGAAAATAAAAGTACACAATAGAGCACATTGAGTGTTCCTTTTCTCTTATCTTTCAATAATTCCAGTATGTTTGTTAAGAAACGGTGAACTATTGTTCATGTACTATGGTATAAAGGGAATTCCTAACACTCAAACTGCAATGAAGTTTTATTCAATTTTAATTTATATACATAAATTTCAGGTCTTAATTCAGATCCAGTAGCTTTCGCGATATGCTTGGTTATCTTCACTTTAATTGCTAATACAGCTGCCTCATTTGGTAAGTACTTTCTTGTTAAAAAAAAACTAACTTAACTTAAAATTGTTAAATCAATTGAACGATGAAATAAAGCACTACTCATAAAGCAATGTTAAGAGTTTTGGAAAGAATTGTTAATTTTATGTTTAATTACTGTATTAAGTGATTTTTGAATGTTTAAATTTATATTTTCAATTTTTTCCACCCAAGATTATTTAATTCAGGCATTTAGTAAGCTTGGGATGAAAAACTTATGGAAATATAGCTAGCTTGGCAACAAAATGTAATATTATTATGATTCAGTAAATTCTAACATTTTTCAAAAATAATTACATTGCAGTTGATATGATTGTGGCAATATGATTAGTACTAGACACAAGCTGTCCTTACTTTCCAAATCAAAACTGAATGGAGACACCATCAGGGATAAAATCCCAGTTCTTCTTAATAACAGCTCAAAAATTTATTTAATTTTTAAAATTTAAATTCGAAGTGTTTGAAGAAAAATATGATTACATCTCATTTATTTATATTAAATATTTTTTATACAAGGCTCAAACAAACGTCATAATTTTTAGTTTCTCAACTTTTATTACCTACAAAGTCATATGCTGATGAAGAAATTAATTTGCATACATTTTTTTAAGCTAGAAATTATTTAAAATACCTAAAAATATGAACTAAATGAAGTTTTGGTTTATGATAAGTTTATATTTATGTCATTACAATGCATTTTTATAAGTGTGGATGTTTTACATGACAACAAAATGTTTATTTTCCAAATAGGCTACATGGTTTCCTGTTTAAGCAATTCTTTAAATGTGGCCCTTAGTATAGGAACGCCACTTTTGATGCCATTAATATTGTTTGGTGGATTTTACTTAAATGCAGCGTGAGTATTTTGCATTTTATTTCTTTTTCAGGCCAAATGTCAGAATTTTATTATCAAACAAACGAGGGAATTTTCTCAATGCTTACTTATTAGATCTCTGATATTCCGTTGTTTGTCATAACACTTTATAATTCTCACTAACTAAATTAATTTTTAAGTGTCAATAGGAAGTTATTGTGATTTGTGTAGTCATTTGATAACTCCAGAAAAAAGAGACAAAATATTCTAATGAAGGGCTATGTTATTATGCTATGTGCAAATGTGGGTTGCACTAAAGGTTAGCATGGGCTCAAAAAGAGAGACCAGCACTACAGAGTTATATTCCCTAGTGCGTTATGTTTTCGTTTATCTGATTATTTCTCATACAGTTAATTTGCAGTTATGAGCACAGAATTTATACATTTGGTTATCTATAAGCACAGATGTTCAAGTTTATGACCAATTCTTTGCAGTAGGTAAAATTTCGAAAAATTCCATTTCACTTGCCACCAAAAAAATCATATTATTCTTAGGCAATAAACTAAACAAATTAATCGATCTCAATCTACAAAATATTTTAATTTTGTCATTGGCAGAAAATAGATCAATATCTTTTCTCTATTATGACACTATTGCATAGTCTAATTTCAAAAGTATGCAAGCTAAAAAATCAAATCTATAAAATCCAAGTTAAAATACCAGAGAATAATTTAAATTTATGTTTTCAAAATTCAATTAAAGCATTATCCAATGAAAACTGCTTTAAACCTTTTGTTATATATATATATATATATATATATATATATATTAAGATAGTCTAATTATGTACTTGTTAGAACAAGTATTTATGTATTTTTAAATGGAAAATAAACTGTATTTGGTTGTAAAATTACGTATTCGGGCAAATGAAGTACAAATAAATAATATAACAGAAATTATCTGCAAATAATTATAAAAAAAGGAGAATATCAAAAAAAGTATTAAAATAATGTTAAAAAAATCTAATCTTAAAACAGCTTCTTTTGCTCAGAACTGACAATAGAAAATGATGGAACATCCTGAACCTCTCTCCACGTTTTAAAATACAAAAATAAACTTAAAAAAATCCTTATTGGGTAATGGTCAGGAGTTCCCACCTTATTTTGATTATGTATGTTTCTTTATGAAAAAGATAAGAAAGGGGAGGGAGAAATGTTACTTATTACAGGAAATGAATAAAAGGCAAAAAAGCTTTTCCAAATTCCAAAACCACAAAGACAGTCAACTAAGAATGCAGAATGAATTTTTAGTTGTAAAAGGTGTGAGGAATGGCTGGTGTCCCACACTTTATCTGTAAATTGTGATAAAAAATAAGCTTTGTTTCTTCCTAGCCTTTTTTATGTTAATACCATTATTTTGCCTTATTTTCAGCTTCTTTCTTAATAAAAATAACATAATAAAAACTGAGAATTCGGAAATACTGAGTTAAAATTTTTTACTACTATCAAATAATTTCATAGAGCCCTTGAAAGGCCTCTGCGGAATCCAGTTTGGGAATTCCTCTTCTAGGGCACAGGCAGATGATATAAGTTGCAGATGAAATTATATAACAACGAGGCAGGTTGATTATATATTTTATGATTAAAATTATATGTTTTATCGTTGAAAACGAAAGTTTTTTCGCTCGAAAATAAAAAGTATATTTCTAACAATTAAAAATAAATAAATTAAAGGAACTGAAAAGAGATAAATTTTCAATAGTGTACATTTTACTACTATGAAATAACAAAGTGTAGTAATAAAGTAATTTACTGCCAGAATATATTTTGCCAACCATGAGTATGAAATCTATGATTTGACTAGTAATAATAATTATTGCCAAGGTCACCTTTCTTAAATGTAAACAATAAAAAAGTGTTGAAAGTGGGAAACCAGTCACAACAGAACATTGCAGCATACACGTAACAGCTCCAGAATTCTATACAAATGTTCAAGACAGTTATAAAAAGAATATCTACAAATAGAATTGATTTCCACTTGCGTGCCACGCTATATAATAAAGTCAAAACATTGTAGCAACCATATAATGTTTTCTATTATTTTATAGGTCAGTACCTGTTTATTTCATCTGGTTAAAATATATATCATGGTTTTATTATGGGAATGAAGCTCTTATAATTAACCAATGGTCCAGTGTTCAGAATATAAGTATGTTTTTTAGTATTTAAAAAATTTTAATCTAAAAACTAAGTTAACAAATAGCTATTAAGTAGCATTGCTCTATATAGTGTTCTGTAATCATGACCCTAAATATATATTTTTAGATTTCTTGTCAAAAAGTAAGTCAGAAAAGTATACACATAAGCAATCACAAATGAATATCTAAATGAAGAAAAAACAAAAACATTGAAATCTAACGAAACATTAAAAAGAGTGGCAGGGCTAAAAACATCTAACCTGCATGATTGCATAACGTATTTCAGAGATATTTCTGAAAATCAACCTCCCTGTTTCTTCTGGCAAACAAATAACTTAATTTTAACTATAATATAAATTTTGGAGACGCCCGGTGGCTGAGCGGTAGCGCTTCGCGCTGTCGTGCCACAGGTCCTTGGTTCGATCCTTGGGCCGGGCAAGGCCGACTCAGCCTTTCATCCCTTCAGTGGGTCGATAAAATGAGTACCAAGCATGCTTGGGAACTAACACTGGGGGTTCCGCGTTCGGCTGACCACCTGACCGGAACATATGCTCCTGCACCCCAGAGCCCAAGGTCAAGAAAACTGAGATGGGCACAGTCGGCCTTGGCCCTCTTAATGGGCTGTCGCGCCACTGAGTTAGTTTAGTTAGTTATAAATTTTGGTAGCGTCTTTGTTGGCCTTGAATATTTATTTAAGATATGTATTGTGAATACTTATTTGTCGCTATTTTTGACAAGGATTCGAAAAATATTAATTAATGGCGTTCCTTAATTCACACTTTTAGCTTATTTCGATGAAAATAGTGTTAGAGAATAATATACATATCTGTATTTTTGGTTATGATTGTTCAAGGTATTTCAATGGGGAATTGTTATTCAAGTGCATTTGCTAATATTTTCTTAAATTTTTATGAACAAAAATTTTTACAACATAATTTATTAATTGGATTGAGATTTATTGATGATTTAATTATTTTTGAATGTAATGACTTTGATTTAATTAAAGATATTTATTCCAAAGAACTAAATTAAGACTAATTCAGATGAAAATTACACTTATTTTTTAGATCTTGATATCAAACTTCATAACCAAAAATTTTTTTTTCATCAGATTATACGATAAAAGAAGAGTTTAAGATAATGTTATTAGTTTAACACATTTTAATTCCAACCTTTACTTTAAGAATATTTTGATTAATCAAATTATTAGATTTAAATTTATTTGTTATAATGAAACAGATTTTCTTTCAGCTATTGGGAATTTCAGGATTACATTAGAGAATAATAATTAACAGAATAATAATGTTTTGATTCAAAATATTTTAAAGATTTTCAAATAATTTGGCAGATATTGAAGCGCACACAAATAGGCTTATGCGGTGAAATTTAGGACTTTATGTTCCAGATGGCAGCACCTTATTAAAAATTTTTTACTCATTAAATGTTTTTCTGTTTTATTTTTTTCAAGATTTTCAAAAAGGGGTCAGCACTTGATTTATTTCTAAAGTTTTTTTAATGGTTTGGCAATTTATATGATATAATTTGTAACTTTATCTTTATTTATTTTTCTTATTTGTGGGCGTTTTTAATGTCTTATTTTGTGTACTTTTAAGTCATTATTAAGACTTACTTTGTGATTGTTTGTCATTTATTTATCTTTGCATTTACAGTTCAATTTCTTATTTGACTTTCCATTATGGGACTTCGGGGCACTGTCAGTTTTTGGTTTCACCACTGACAGCAAAAATGCTCCTGTGTGTTGGCAGGCAGTGTGTCCCCTGATGAAGTACTGTCCTTCTAACACACATATTTTAATGGTTTTTGTTTTCTGCAAGAGTTACTTTTCTGATTTTTTAAATTTGGTTATGATTGTTAACGTCCCATTAGAGCTATGCTAATAAGGTTGATAATGTAAGTTTGATTTTTCTGATTAGAGCTATACTAGTAATTGGTTATTGGGCAAAATTATCTGTTGTCACCAGCCAGTATATATAAAAAATAGTGATTAAAAATTTGTTAATTAATCACCACTATTTACTCTGAAAATGCACCCCTTGTGCTCAAAAACATGTGCTTTTAACTTCTCATATTATTTATTACACAAAAAAGTTGTAATTATCTGTGATAATTCAGGTCATTTTATGCAGATTTAAAATCTTAGGGGGCTTGAACTTGTCAAAGGTTTCATTAGAGTTCAAGTTAATTTCATATTACTTTTTTTAAAGTTACGACCGATAATATTTAAAAGCAATCTAATTAATATAATATCATTATGATTACAATTGTTTCTGATTTATTTGGAAATAAATAAATTTTGTTCACTAATAAAGATACATTTTATGTTGCATTATTGGTTCAAAAACATAACTAAAATAATTTCATGCTTACGAAATATAAGCTAAACTGTTGACTATTATAATAATAATAAAAAAAATTCCACTTTAGAGATACTTTAAATATAGTTAGTAAAAAGAAATATCTTATTTTTACAACAAGTTTTATAGCTCAACTGCTTTAGTTAAACAATAATATAAATTATTGCACTTTTCTCTAAAACCCTTCAAACTTCTATTATATTTTCAGCTTGCTCAACACCACAATGTCCACCAAATGGCAAAGCCATTCTTAAGAGTTTGGATTTTTATGAGGTAGGTTGTAATTATTTTCAAAAAATTGAAAACTTGTCTTTTTTTATCATACTTTAACACCACACTCATTGCCTTTTAGGAGAATCTTGTCCGGGACTTAGGAGTTATTATAGCTCTAATGGTGGCACTTCGAATTCTTGCATTTTTAGCATTGTTGGTAAAATCAATGAAAAAGACATAAGATATCAGTTGCTTTTAAATAAATTGTAAAGAACATGTATAGCAGTAATAAATGCTTAAAATATAATAGGACATAAGACTGAACAGAGCTTGTTAGAGTTTCTAATTATTCTAGTTTGATGAAACTGGAGCTCTTTTAAACTTAATTATTGTAGTTTAGGTACGGTGAAAATAAAAAAAAAGAGAAAAGGATGACTTTTATAGAAGCCTCCTTTTTCCATGTTCTTGTCTATTTTGAAAATGTAAATTCAGTGATCAATGTAAATTTATTTAGAATTTACAAGATTTGCTGTTTAGATTTAAATTGCATACATATATTTTGAAATTGCTAATTTATATAACAAAAATTATACTCTTTGTACATTGAAAAGTCATAATTATTATAATATCAATTATGATTAAATTATTAACATAATTTAAGATGAAATTTTATTTTATTTTTGTAAAAATAAAATAACTGGGAGCACATTTTTTTAAATTTAAAATGGCAATCTTAAGAAATATTTAATTCTTCTAAGGTATCTAGTCTTAAAACAACAAACCATAAATAAAAGTAATCTGTTTTGTTTAGAATTTTTTGAAAATGCAATCTTAAGAAATATTTAGTTCGTCTAAAGTATCTAGTCTTAAAATAACAAACAATAAGTACAAATATTTTGTTTTAAATGAAGCTTCAGTAAATAAATAAAAGGGAATATAAAAAAAATCTCTCTCTTAACAAAAAATGATCATACATTAATCCATTTTTCTTCTTTTTTCTTTTTATAGTTAAACAGGAAAATATTTCAATCCCTTGGAATGGGCTCAAAAAAAATTTTTTTTATGGAGCCAAATATAAATTTTTAAATTTTCTTAAAAGCATAAACAAATCAGCTTTCAAGTTAAAAATTTAAAATATACAGCGAAAGAAATATATAAATGTACAAAATGTAACATTAAGGTCTTCTGGAATATGTATGAAAACTTTAAGTATCATAAAGTAATTATAGTCAATAATAACTAATCAAAATCAATCAATAAATTAAGATAAAAATAACCAATATTTATCTCAATCTGTAGGTTAAGATCTTATTCAGATTCGAGACCTAAATGTTATAAATAAATATTAATTACAGAAATATTTATCTATAACAAAGATTATGTAAATATTACAGTTACTTTATATTTTAAACTTAACATTTTCGAACATTATCATTACATTTTGAACATTATCATTTGTTTAATACTCATGTTTAATACTCATGTTTTAATACCAAAAAAGTGAAGGTTTTTTTTTTTGGATGTAAAAAGGAAAATTTGTTTAAGACCAAAAAAATGAAGGTTTAGACCCATTCCAGAAAACGAAAATATTTTTCAACACGACTGAAATATTTTCAATAAATATATAAACAATATGTTATCTTCTTATTGACTTGAAATTTTGAAGAAAAAAGAAAGGTTTTTAATGATACACCCTAATAAATAATTCAATAGTAGCTGGTTAGTATTAAAACTAGTACTAACTAGTAATGCTATTGGTCAAACATACTAGTCAAAATAATAAAAACAAATAATAAATTTAACCAGTCTTAAATTTTTAATCTGATATAAAGTAAGCTAATAGAAATTATTTTTATTGCAACATGATAGACCCAGGTTTTTCACCCTAATAAATAATTCAATAGTAGCTGGTCAGTATTAAAACTAGTATTAACTAGTTAAAATAATAAAAATATAAAATAAATTTAACCAGAGTTTCAATCTTTCAATCTGATATAAATTAAGCTCATAGAAATTATTTTTATTGCAACCTGATGCACCCAGGTTTTTCATAATACACCATAATAAATAACTCAATAGTAGCTGGTCAGTATTAAAACTAGTACTAACTACTAAGACTACTAGTCAATATAATAAAAATTAATTTAATCAGAGTCTTAATCTTTCAATCTGATTTAAAGTAAGCCAACAGAAATTATTTTTATGGCAACACTATTATGCAAAATGATTTGGCAAGTATAAGAACAGAATTACAGTTAAAAAAATAATACAATGTGTTTTATGTTTGTAAAGCTTGTGAGAATGATTTGTAAATATGTTTCACTAGTCTTTAAATATTGTGACATATTATTGTATTTTTTAATAAATATTAATAAATTATATGGAATACAGTATGATTTTACTTCTTAGACAGTCTTGTGTTGAACAATTTGTAAATATTTAGTTTGTTTTCTACTTTGGTAATTTAGAGCAACTTTTGAAAAATAAAACAAAAAAATATCATACATATGTAATTTTAGTTTAAAACTATTACATTATTTAAAATATAAATTAAAGAGGTTTTAACCCAGTAAAAATTTAGCTACTATGTTGTATGAAAAAAAAAGTATACTAAAACTATATAGAAATCCATAGTTAATAAAATAGAAATAAAAATGTAAAATGTTAGAAAAATAAAACAATTTATTAAAAAAATTTGTTAACAATTTCTAATATGATATGTTTTACAGAAACATATAAACAGTAAAATTTGCATAAAAGTATAACATTTTTAAACAGAAAAACATTGTAATTTTTTTTAAAAATCAAAATGACTATGTTGATAACAAAAATATAAAACTCACATAGTATAAAAATATAAGCTACAAATCTCTGGAAGTGATCACTGACGTGGCATTTAAGTAAATCACAGAAAGCCGTTGATCACAAATTCATTTTTCAACTTTGAAAGCTCCTGAGCAGTTAAAGATTTTAGTGGGGGATGACATAGACCACTTTGGTAATTCAACATATCCATAGCGGCCTTAACACCAGGAATACCAAACCATTTGGTGACCTAAAGGTAAACACAATTGACAAACTTTAAATGAATTAAACGATTTAAATTTGAAATGGTATGTAACATAGAGCTGGGTACTGATTTGATGATTCAAATCACCAACTTGTAACTGATTTAAATCAGTTGATTTTATCAGAATACATTTAAATTATAATGAATTAATGTTTCTTAAATTTCTGTTAGTTTTGTCTTACTGTGATGCTACGTCATAGATAGTTAATAATTTCTTGTAAAACCTAAGAGATTCTTACATCTTTTAATGCTTAGAATCACCAAGAAGAAACGACTCTATTAATTTGAATCAGTTATATAATTCGTTTTGTCCAACTCTAATGTAAACAATTTATTTATTTCAGAAAAGATATTATTCAAGTAAAGAAAAGGTTAATTTTGAGCTAGATATGTATAATGCTTAACAATGTGAAAAGAGCACGAGAAAAAGGAAGGGGTAATTGTGAGCCCAATTCAAAAATCCTGAAAATTTCTTGAGTAAAATCATTAAAGACGCATTTCAAAAAATTAATGTCTTTGTAAATTTAAATCATTGATATTTTCAAAACATGAAATTCTAAATAAATTTTATGCAGAATAATTTAAATGAATAATTATGTATAAGTTTACTTTTATCTCTAATCACATTTATTATTCTACCGAAAAAATACTTACAAATGAAACAGATGCCAAGCATAAATTCTAGTTCTAATATTTTTAAATAAAATATACAAGAATTTATATATATAAATGTGATTGGTGATTTCTTAAAACTTCTGGACCTTGGATTTCCGGAAACTTACTGATTGCGGTTAACAAAAAATCCAGAACACAATCATCTCTGAAAAGGTATATTTCCTACCGTAGTTTTATTCCACCATCTGGGGTTCTCCCTCTACCCCCACAACACTTGTTTTCTTGCCTGTAATTCCATCTTATTCCCCCCCTTTTTTTCCATCTTTTGTAACTTTCTTGCCATTTCCTTCTATATCTCCAATTTTTTTTTTCTCCACACGTTCTCTGCCTTCATGCCCATGAAGGCTTTTCATCATAGAACCAAAACTATAATACGTTTATGTGACGATTTTTGTGCTCTTTTCACATTTAGAGCCTTATGCAAAAGACAATAAGACTTTTTCTTCTGAAATTAGGGTTTGTACAGTTTTGTATGCAATGTTTTCCTGAAGTAAAAAGCACTATGTCCTAACAACAGTTAATTAGAAAAAGTAGTATAATAGTGCAATTAAATTTTTGAAAAATAAAAAAAATTGTGACACATATTTTTTTTGAATTTTTAAAATCAGATATGTAGACAACTAATAAAAAGTGAGTAATAATTTATGATGAATATCATAACATTATAGATCCTATAATTCAAAGTGAAAATCTTTAAATATCTATTACTATATATTGATGAATAAAATAATGAAACATCCTACAAATGAAAAGAATGGGTAGACTTAATAAGAATGTATAAATTGTAGTTTAAAACCAAATAAATAAATAAAAACTCACAGCTAGATTTGGTCCTATAAGTCGCAACTGTAATTCTCGAGCTTCCTCATGCTTACCAGAAATAAAGTTTTCATATAGTTGACAAGTTGCACTGCCTAGAGCATTTGCCAAAGCTAAAACTCCCCCAACACATCCTGAAAAACAAATTTTTACAATAAAAAAACTAGATTATAAATGAAAAGACAGTTAAAGTATTAATTGTCTAACATTTAAGACATATTATAAATGTGATAAAATAATGGTGACGCGTACTGCTAACTTCAGTACATGAGAATTTTTTTTTGTTTTTTTTTGTGTTGTGTTGAATGTAAACTAAAAGAAATGCACCATAAAATCCTTACAACGAGAGAGAAAGATATATAGCTTTTATATTTTATTAAAACTTTATATTTTAACCTTTGACTTTATTTTAACCTTTGACCTAATTTTAACCTTTAACTTTATTAAAGCGTTCATATTTTAATTTAGAACCATTTATTGCAACATCAATAGAGTTCCTTATATCCTAGTTATTAGACACTTCTTATTCAAAAATATTTTATTATTAAATTCAAGTTCTTTGCAAAATAATATATCATCAAACTAAATAACATTAGTTTTGTATGTATTTTAAGTTAGAAAGGTTTTATTTTTTGTGAATAACCCAAGGAAATTAAGAGTTAAAAAGAGACAGAAATGAATAAAAATTAAATATTTATTACCCACACAAAGTGCTGGATAAAGAAAACCAGCAGAGCCAGCTAAAACTTGAAAATTCTTTCCTTTCGTTTTGTGACAAATGAATCCAATTTTTGAAATCTAATTATAAAAAATTAGAAACAAAATTACTTAAAACTTTACAGAGATAAGAAATTTATTCAGAAGTCAAGGAAAACAATTTCTTGAACATATAACATTTTATTTTAAGATTTCAGGTTCATGCAAAACATAAATTTATAAATTTGTTAACCAATTTTTTGAGGGAAAATAGTTAGCTTGAAGTTAAAGCATATTTATTATTATTATTTTCTTTTCAATGCTTTGTTGAATGTAAATAATTTGCATAGATCAGCAATAGAATGAACACTAACTGCGAAAGAATATTTTAATTGTCAATATAATGATAGAAGTAAGAAGTCCACAGTTGGATTTTAACAAACCTGCCAAAAAGTTTTGTTATTCTTACACCAACCAGCTAAAGCACCAACATATTTTTTTAGTTAAAACTTTAGAATATATAGGACTGAACAACAAAACCCTTTTTTGATAATAAATTCTCCTTGATGTCCATTCTTGTCTGATTGAAATAAACCAAAGAACTGAAAATGAAGGTCAAAATAAAACCACTGTCAATGGTGCAAGGTGAGTTGATACTCATATTATTTCGATTTTTAGCTATACAATTTTAAATCTAGTGAAACCTGAAATTTTACTAATTTAAAAAGGTGGACCAGTTTGTCACCAGAAATAGTTATTAAGAATATAAAATTGAAAATATCTAACTAAATTAATTTAAATAGCACATAATTTTTTTTAAATGTTTTTACATTTTTTACCAACAAAGTTATAAAATGTTTATATGTAATCTTGATGGCATATTCTGATCAATGAATCCAGATGGCTTATCATGAAATTATGCCAAGTGTATAGTGGAAGGTGGGAGGAAAAAATGACCTCAATAAATTTGGAACTAGTGATTGGATTTTCATAGATTTTGATGCATTCTTCATAGTTTAATGGTCTAACCTTAAACATAATTAATAATTTACACAGGCAATATTTTAAGTTGAAAATTCAGACACAAAAATGAGTCTTCTCTGACACATATTACAATACAGGTTTGGTTTCGGATTTTTGAATCAGTTCCAATCATCATAAAAATAGAATTTAGTTGATATCAGTTGCAATCATCATAAAAATAGAATTTAGTTGATATCAGTTGCAATCATCATAAAAAGAGAATCAATTGCAATTAGGAAAATATTATCCCAAAAATTTAATGAGGTTTGAGTTCCTTTTTGTTTTTACATCTTTGGCATTATTTAAGAGAATCACAAAGTTTGAACACACAATTTTAAAGTTTATTCATCCATATGTAATTCAACATGAAAAAAAAAAACTATTTTTTCTTATTACATTTTATTTGTTTCATAATGGTCAAAAACATTAAAATTTAAAGCTCATTTTTAACAATTTGATTTTAAATAGCAAAATCAAAATTTTGAACAAAAGTGGCATTATATTTTCTGTTTTAACTTTTTAAAAACTGCTTGACTGATTCTGTTCAAATTTTCAATTTTGTAAGATAAAATTGTATATTTTGAGATAATGTAGAAATAAGTATTCCTTACAATTTTAAAAATTTTGAGCTATTATTAAATTACACTACAATTATTATAGATAATTATAATTATTATAGTTTAGGTTTGACTCTCCAGTGATAGAAATTGGATCTTAATATATGAAAATTGGGTCACTAGCTCAAAAGTTATTAAGGTTTCTTTTTTGTTTTCACACTGTACATTAAATAGATACGCATTTAGTACATTTGAGTAGCAAAAAGTCAATACTTTATAGAAACATCTTCATCAGATTATGAAGAAAAGATAATGATATAAGAAATAGTTTTATAAATGGTCAGAGTAGATTTAAAATTATCATTTAATGCTGTTTCTAATTGCTAAATTAGTCTCGAATTTCAATTAATTTAAAACCATTTAAATTTTCTGATGAATCCAACTCACTGAACCTTTGCACTAGACATATAACTTTCATAATATATAATCCTTTATAATTAATATTAATTACAACAAAAATTAGAATAATAACATCTCTATATTTATTTTTTAAATTTTAAATATTTTGATATTCAATTCCGATGTTAAAGAACTTACATCTCCCCCGCTATCTTTCATTCCAATAATATTGGAGTGATCAGCTAAACTTGCAGCTAATGTTGCACTTAAATCAATTCCTGTATTGGCTGGTACACTATACAAAATAATAGGAATTTTGCTTGAATCAGCAACCTAAAACATGACACATAAAACATATAATATTACACAATTTAAATTAATGCTAAGAATGTAATTTATTTCTTTTTACATACTTTATGGAATTTGGGTGAATCACAAGCACCTAGAGTATTAATTTTCAATAATAATTACTTTGTTCAATTTCACAGAACAATTAGATATTTTAGTTATTTTTGGCACAGTTAAAATCACCCTAATTATTTTAATTTTCTTAAAATTTATATTTAGCTCCTCAAATAGGAAAGACAATCCGGAATTATTGACATAATATTTGGTTGTTAGCAAAAACAAAGTAGTGGTTATTTAAATATTTAAAAATATGCCCCAAGTTGAGCAAAATACATTAATTAAAAATCTAAGATCTGGTTTAAAATAGAACAATTAAATCTGAATTTTAAGAAAAATAAAACTCATCTTAATTAAGGACTACAAGTGAGAATTTTGCAAATAAATAAATAAGATTTACAACTGAAATTCAGAAATTAGTTAATTAAATCAATTAGTAAAACACTTAACTTTAAATGAAAATACACACTGAAACTAAAAGGGAAAATTTTTATGTATATGTATAGTTCTTGTGAAAACAGTAAATTTACAAAATTAAAAATAAAGTGAATTGAAGTTTCTAAGACCATTGCAATTAAACTTCTAATTATATCAAAAGAAACAAAAATATACTTTAAGCAATAAAAACTTATTTTTTGAATAAATAATGCTCCAAAATCATTCCCTCACACCCTATTTAAGCATCATTCTATCCTTAAGTGCATTAGTGAGGGCTTATCAGTGACTAATTTATTAAAATTCTCAAATAGTAATTAGGCATAATTAATTTTTAAAATTAATCATACACAAAGACATTCATACTCAAATATATTCATACAAGAAAACAATTTAGAATGATTTACTTTTCAAGTACCATTTTCTTTTTTTTCTTTTTAAAAAAAGAGGTGTGATGGAATGATAAATTACTTGATATGTAATCAAATGCTAGGTTAAAATTTTTAAAACTGCAATACACATTTTATTTTCAGTTTCAAGGCTTTTCTTGAACTTGTTATGACAGTCAATCAAATTAAAGTGAAATTATTATTGAAAACAAATGAATTGCTCTAAATTTCTGGGATTACACTTAGCCATATATCTTCCAGTTGATAACAGGAAGGTTGATTTTAAACAGCTTCCAATTATGAATCTTACAAGTTAAGTTTAAATCTTAGTTTAGAATTAAAAAAAAAAATTAACTTAATTAATTACAATGCAATAGTACACAAAAATGTGAAATCTACCACGATTGTATTATTTCATTAATAAACTGCAAATTTTTAAAACAAGCACATTGTGTTGTTAGTTGAATGAAAAAAAAATCTTATCATTTCTTTAATATTTGAACCTAAGGTGAAAAGTCATGTTTTTGGTGATTAAGTAGTTTGTACAAAAAAAAAAAAAAAAAAAAAAAAAAAAAAAAAAAAAAAAAAAAAAAATAAATAAATAAATAAATTAAAGTTATGGGTTAAAAATTTTTCAAAATTATTTTCCTGTAAATAAAATTATTTTTCACAATTTAAATTTCAATCACATTTCATCTTAATAATATTGCATTGATTTATTCCCATTTGCCAAACAGCAAAAACATATAAACTAAACAATAAAAAAATACAGAGAATTTATACCATATGTCAATATTCATCATTGATAAATATCAGCATTTTATAAACTTATGCAATATTAATACATATTTAATAAGGAAATAAAATTTTAAGAATTTATTAATTTTTTGGGCCAATAACTGTCGGTTCAAAACATTATTTTATAAGATTGAATAAATTGTCATAAAAACTAGTACTAATAATGACTAAGATTTCATAAGAAATGAAGTCATTCAGTAAGTTAGCAACTTTAATTCGTAAAACTTACTTTTATATAATGATCATAAAGTAGATCATCAGTCATTCGACCTTTATAAAAAAATGGAGATACAACTAAAGCAGCTGCTGCACCAGCATCAGCCATTTTATTTGTCAAGTCAATTGTTTCAGTAGTTGCTAAAAGTAAATTAGAAGAAAAAAAAAAGAATATTAATACAATCATGATGAATCTTTAAAATAAACAAATATAGAGACAATTATAAAAGAAAATTTGAAGAGAGAGATATAGAAAATTTTACAAAATACGAAAGCTCTTGGAAATATTATGTATTTGTCTGCATAAGAAATTTTTTTAATTTCTTTAATCAGAGGGATGCTGAATAATATCAAGAGTGATTAGAATATGAATTAAAAAAGGGTAAGAGAAATAGATTATTAACCAGAGTCAAAAGGCAAATAAAAAAATCTTTACATCAAGATTCTTGATTAATTCTGAAGCATAACATTGGCGTCATTAGTATGGGAGGAAGACAATAAGTATATATCTCACTCAATAATTAGAAATATCTCTAAGTTCCCCTTAATATTTCAGACAAATAAAAAAAACACATTTTCGTGAATCATTATGGATTTAAATTCATCAAAGTTAAAAGAAAGAGAGATAAAACAATTAAACTTTTCACACATATTTAGCAGATAAAAGAAAATTTTTTCTTATGTTAAAGAACAATTGTGATTGTGTAGTTCAATCTCATCCCCCTCAAAAATTGGATCCTTGTGATACTGATGCAGCATTATTATAATAATAGTATAATTTTGTTACAATGAAAAAATTATTTTTTAAGCTGGTCTTATAAAATTAGAGAGGCATCAGGTATGAATTGAAAAGTAAAACTCTACATTCAAAGTTTTGGGAAAGTTTAAAGAATTGATAATGGCATACTACTGTGAAAAAATACTCAGAATGTTATCATAAAAGAAAAGGTATCAAGTCATTAATATTTTTTGTTTCCTTGAAAATAATCTCCCATGATTAAATGCATTTTCAGCCAACAGTTTTCCTATCGCCAAACCATGCTTTATAATAGTTTTATTGAGAAAGTCCAGCAGAATTTGTAGCCTCATTTTTTTTTATAGAATTAAGGAAATCAAAATAATAATCATGTAGCGAATAGAGAATCACAACAACAGGAATAAAAAAAAATGCATAAGGAAAATTTGCAATACCAAATGATACTGGATTCAGCAAGTTAGGTATCCTACTTATTTAAATTGAGTCAGCAAAATTTTTTTTTTTTTTTTACACGTTGCTACAATCTAGTGTTGGATATATAATATCAAATTATTTTCATCTGATTTTTTTAAAGCAAATTTTAGAGAATTTATCAAATTTTATATTTTGAAAAAGTAATTGTGTTACTAATTGATCTCATTTCATGCTGCATTCATTTAAAGTACTGGATACTTATAAGCCCATAGCAGAGTAATTGGGAAATGCGCTGTAACAGATACATTAATGAGTGAAAATGTTTTGAGGATTATACGTGAATTTTATATCAGAGCAAGCTTACATAACTGTGCTAAGAAGACCATTTAAAAATGAGATGTGAAATAATATTAGTGAATGACAATATATATCTTTTAATTAACTGTTACTATTGTATACATTTAAAAATTTGATTAGATTAAGCAGTGGCCATTATAGACAATCATAAAATTAGGTAACATCCTAGAAAATTTTATTTAAAATAAAACAGGCATGGATGCATGAGATTGGAAAACCAAAGGGAAAAAATATATTTAAATAAAAAAGAAAAAAAAAAAGAAAAATGAAATAGATCCCATATTTTCAAAATGCCTAAAAAATAACAAAAGACAGAGATGAAATATCTGAAAGAGGAAGCATTATTTTAGAAGATGAAGGGAATTAGATTAAAAAAAAAATACAAATTGTGGTCAGTTATATTTATCAGCTACCATTAATTTGGTTAAATGTTGCTTGATGAGGCAAAATGTTAACTCTAGATGAATTTATGCAAATATAATATCTGGTTGAAAACGTTCTTGTAAAATTCTATCTGGTAATTTTTTGTAAAATAGTTTTTTAGGAACAATATTTTTTATTTCACACAAAAAAAAACTTTTATAATTCTCATTATCGTTGAAGAAGAGTGCTTGTTCTGCAGCATGCACCACACTTCTAATCCTATTTTGCATTGAGTACAAAGTTACAGATACAGATCCACCTCCAACACCAACTGTACAATAAATTCATACTTACATTCACAGCCTGTACCAGCAATAATAATTTTATGTGGCTCACTTTCTTTTTTCACATGTTTCACAAGATGTATCTTGTTTTTCTCAGAAAGAAAAGGGAATTCTCCAGTCGATCCTAACACAACATACCCTAGAATAATTTTAAAATTTAACAATAAATAAAGAGCTTAAGAAAACAACATTGAAATTAAAAGAAAGCAATTGAACATACACAAGCTGCTAAATAAAAAACTGTCTTATTTATAGAGTTATTAGAATAAATTAATGTTCGATATTTATAATTTTAATCATAACACTTTACTAACCCCAACACTTAACTTTTGGTTATCTATGCTGAATTTTTTCGTCCTGAAAAATAGATTATATAGGGAAAAGTTCATTTGTTTGGCAGCTAAAAATAAGACATCATTTATGAAACAAACTCTAAAATGTACACTTTTATTCCTTCAAGCATGATTTTTGGTGAATAGAAAGTCAAGATTGCCATGGAATATAATACAATTGGTAAATGAAATAAAATGATTCCTTAAAGACCAATCATGGTAAAAAAAAATTTCTGCCGGGTAGACTATATTTGAGGGTGCCCCTTGATTCTCGCCAAGCTGGGCGATGTTGAAACCCAATCGTGATTCTGATTGGTTTAGATTTTTGCGTTATTTTTAAATGTTCAACGGTATATGAAATTTCAGAGGTACGTTAGTTCTACGTTGAATACAGGCTGGTAAGGTTATTTTTGAATCTGTTCAATAAGATCGAAAGTATGTGGGCAGTCATATAAAGGGATTTAAGAAAAAAATGACACCGCTAGTCCGGTATTACAGACGCCATTTTTGATTCGTATTTCGTCAAATTTATGTGGCGATGGAAGTACGCAGATTCTATTCATGATAAATTTAGACAGTATCCACCTGTTATTAGATAATTCTGTGCACCTAAATCTGAGGATATTCAAGCTTAATGAAGAAGTGAGTTGTTTTCTTCCTTTTCTTTCTGCTCCTACTCCATTAAGTTTTGCTTCGATTCAAAATCCCTTTATTGGGTTTATTAATTTTGCAAGTTTCATTGCAAGTTTTTGTGTTTAAATTTTTCAATGTTTTATTGAAATAACATTATGTTTTGGCCAACATTCCTGTTACCACGATGTTCCGCGCAAACAGGAATAGCGCCAAACATAGGTCGCCAAGGGGCACCCTCAAGTATATTTTTCTCTTTTTGCCTACTAATATTTTTGAAAGCTTTCTTTACCATAGAATGTTGCTGCTGGTATAAAATTATAACAAAAATGTCTTCTGTGGCACAAGGAGACACACAGAGTATATTGCACTTGGAAAATTAATGATTCCCTATGACACAGTACAGGGTGAATTTTTTATTTTTTTTTGCTTACGGATGAGACATTATTAAAATCTACATCTCGCTGTTGGATTAATATTCTAGGGAAAGTGACTTCTGTCCCACACATAGAATATGTTTTCAGTTAAGCATCAACTAGATGATTTTAGCAATAGATCAAGAGAAGATAATAGAAGGATTATAAAATAGAAATTCAAACATAATGTGATATAAACATAGTTTTTCATCTTTTCTTTTACATATGACATTTTTTTGTTGATGCAATATTTATTCTTTTGTAAACGAAATACTTTTTGTTCTGATTTTCAGCAACACTTTTTTCTTGTGAATAGCCTACATACTCTGAAAAACTGTACCGACATATTTAAAGAAAGTACATATTTTTATGAAATCTATCTTTCAAATCCATTAGAAATGGAATGTAATTTGCCTTGACATAAATGGAAAAATTTTATAGTTGCTTTTAAGAAGAAAAAAATTTAAAAACTTGGAATTTTTAATGTGCAATAGATCAAAATTTTTAAATAAATTATAATTCTTTAATTATAAGGAAGTAAAACCAACATGTAAAAATTATTAAAATACCTTTAATGTACAGAAATAGTCAAGTTATGTAAGATAAAGGAAGTAGAACATAGTGGTCTGGATCTAAACTAGCAAAATTACTAGTGAATTAAGTAAAAAAGGTGATTCAGTGCGATTGGAAAATAGAAAAGACAATAAAAAAAAATCATGCTAATTTATTAAGTTGCATTTAAAATATGTACAACAGCCAATTTTAACCTATTTTAATAAAAGCCAGTCTCATTCTGTTCTAAAATAAATTTAAAATTCATAAGAGACATTTTTGATATTGACATGTTTAATTATTTTATAATTTTTCTTGCTTTTGCCAGCCTTTCAAAATGTATTAATAAAAGTCCTGACATGTCGTCCCCAAGAGAAAATAGCGCAAAATTTTTTCCTTTAAGAATATGAAAGAAGTTTGATCTACACTTACCTTGCTAAACATTGGTTACTCTATTAAGTCCCTCTCGTCCACAGAAATTTTGCAGTTTAACGAAATAAACTTTAGACAATAAATATAAATAAAACCCTAATTAAGTCATAATGTTTATTTAATAAATAAAAAGTTACTAAGATTAGATAATATTAAATAAAAATACTTTTTCTTAAACTTCAAAAGCTTTATGGATTATTTACCTTCATAATTATATTTCCTACTTCCTCAATATATTATTTCTGTTAAATGCAGCACTTCAACATCTAGCAACAAATTTCGAGTAAAAACAATCAAACACTATTACCGATATTACAATTAAATTTTTAACTATTACGTTTCTCTATAAACTTAGATGTTAAACTCTAATAAAATTACAAGTAGCAAGAGAAAAAACCCTTTTAAACAATAAAAAATTACCAAGAATAATTCATAATAAAATATCAAGATTTTTCAAACTATCATCACCATTAAGTTAAGAATTTTAACAAACACTCTACTCTGCATAATTGCAAAAGTAAAACTCTTTCTTTAATCTCAGGTAAATTTGAAAGTAAGTTACGCCTTGCAAAATTGCATATATTTAGTAAATATCTACCTCAACTAGGTACACAACCTATGGCCTGAGGGTCACATGCACCCCGCCGACAATTGATGTATGCCCCGCTGGAACTTCTGCATGCAAATTTTTTTTTTTGTTTAAACATTGTAAATTTTCATTAATTAAAATATTTAATTCAAATTTACATTACTCTATAAAATGCATATATTTTTCACACTTTCATTCTGTAAGCTTCTTTTTGGTTAGAACTTATATCCCCCCTTCCAATATTCATGTGTGTGTATATCCTATTAATAAATGAATTATTGTGAAAAAATTTCAAAAAACGTATTAGTTTTTTTAGGTTTAAATAATTAAAAGTATTTAATTTTCTGCAATATGTTATTAAGTTTACTGATAAAAACATTTAGCGCTTTTAACACTAATATTTACATAAAAATTATCATATTTGCTGCTGACATGACTAAATATGCATGAGGCCCTTCGTTAATCTACCTGCTGTGCAAGTGGCCCTTCACCCAAAAAGGTTGTGCATCCCTAATCTTAACCTTTTATTATTTTCTACTACCCACTATATCTATATATATTAATAAAAGGTAATTTTTGTTCTCAGCATTAGGACTGGGTGATGTAGGAAATTTTATATCATGATACATCATCTGTTAGACATCAGGATATAACATAAGTTCAAAAATTATTTCTTTTAAATCAAAACTACACAATCAGAAATCTTAAATCAATCAAAAATATGTGAAAGAAATCTTTACAAAAGGAAATGTTAATTCCAAAAAAATCGCATGAGGGGAAATTTTATAAGAGAATGATGTTTTATTAATATTTCTAAATATTAAATATTTCTTTATGAATTAAATAACTATCTCGTGGAAGAGTCTCATAATCTTTCAGAAAGATTACGAAACAGTTCTTCTAATCTTGAGACAATCTTTTACAGAATATTATTACATGTACGTTATCAAGATTATAATCTACTATTTTAACAAACCTTTAAATGAGGTTGAATTCCACACATTTAAATTGAATGATAGTTTGTCGAAGTTGATGTTGAATTTTTCATCAAAAGGCGTTATAATAGGTGGATAAATACCAGATAAATCGAGGGAAGATGTAGCAGAAAAAAATCGTTCGTAAGACGAAGAATTACTCAGTCTGCGAGTCTTATTTAAGATAAGAAATGGCTGCTTTATACAGTTATATTTTATTAAATTAGTTGATCTTATCATAGAATGAAACATTTTTCAATATAAAATAAGAATTTTCATGTATGCATAAAGAGTTTCGAATGAAGAATTCGAGAGTACATTCAAATTTAAATATGTTGCAAAAATCACAAAATCAAAATAGTAAACAAAGCTGACATTGCCAGATACATTATTCCAATCTCAAATACTTACTTTAAAGTGTTTTTAACTTTATTTCAGCAGTGGCAACGACATCGAATTTGTTGATTGAAAGAGAGGGTGAAAGTCTTGGGGAGACTTTTAGTAGTATAAATTTATATCCAACGAAGTGAGTAATTTAGTTTTACAGTGGTAATTTTCTGTTAATTTTTGCTTTGTTTAGTTTCACAACAAAGTAGTACTTCAGTTTCCGTTGATAATTTCTTAAAACTATTGCGTCAAAGCGTAGTTGAACGTAATCTAATACATTGTTGCTTTGTTTCAGAATAGAGGCTAACTTTTTTGAATAAAAAAATATTTAGAAGTTTTGAAGTGCAAGAGAATTAGGAAATTTCTCATATAAATATTTCTCGAACGAGTAATCCTATGTCAATATATATGGACCAGAAGATATCGAACTCTGACTCGAGCAGTCTCTCTTATTTTATATTTAAGACAAGAAAAGAATGCTTTGAATTCAAGTTACTGAATATTTAGAGTATTTCATTACAGATTCTTTTTTATTAGATTCTTTTTTATTCATTTGTTTTAGCTACTTATTAAGCAGCACTTGACATTTTAGAATTTTGCTATCACCTTTAATATAAATATTCTTACCTTTTAACTAGTACTTTTTCTCTTATTTTAAATGAGCTCTCAATTGAAATAAGTGTTTTTTTATAAGTTGAAATAACTAACTTTTGGTTATTATTGCCATCTCTGAAAATGTAGACAGTGGCTTAGTTTTAATGTATGTTCAAGGGAGTGATTGATTACTTCCTTCTGATGTATAATACTTATCATAGTTCAATAATCAATTCATGGTTAATTTCGGAGGGAGTTTTATCCCCCTAACCCTCCCAAAACTACACTAAATATAGGTAAATAATTAATTTGAGTTGAAAATGATTTTTTAATTATTGATTTCCCCAGACAGGGGTCTGTCCAGACATTTTGTAAAAGGTCCTGTTTTTGTAAAATTGTGAAAAAATTACTTGTAATTTGAGAATATAAAATAAGCGTTAAGTCACATTCTTTCATGAATTTCCTGCTTTTATGAATTTGTGCAAATGGGGTGCGGTTATTGCATAAAACTTTTTCAAGGAGTTTTTAAATTGTAAATAGATACAAGATTATGCTGAGCACTGTAAAATTATAATAAAAAAAATTAAATTTTCTAAAATTCAATTGCTGCTTCTAAATTAGAGATGCAACATACAAATATTTGGTATTTAGGCTAGACTGCTGAACGTAGAATATTCATTTCAGACGAATAATGGATGAAGCGTCTGTCAAAGACAAAACTTAATTCGTTTACATCAATCTTTCTTGTTTTTCCTCCCAGGAAGGGTTTATTTGATTAATAAAACAATAATGAAGATAAGCAAATTTGTTAAGGGTCCGATTAAAAAAAAAAAAATCATTTTGTGAAGGGTCCGATAAACAGACCCAAATTTTTTCTAAACAGACCCCTGATTAATCAATAAAACCTGGTTACATAAAAAAAAAAATTCTCCAATAATTAACCTGTAATTTTCTTTATATCCTATGTACTTGGGCTTATTTAATCAGTAAATAAATTTTTTTTATTTAGATTTTTTTTTTAAGATTTGTCTGAATGCTATTAAAATACTTAAAATATAAGATATATTTTTATTTTATTTATATAATAATAAAAAAAAAGCATTTCAAAGTTTGGCTAATTGTCAAATATTTCATCTGTAGCCCTACTAATACAAGTATAAATAAAGAAGGAGCTTTTTATAAACACTTAATAAAATTAATTTGTTGCCCTGTGTAGTGTTTAACAGCTTCCTTGGTATAAATTATGATTCATGTTTAAATATTTAAAAATAAAAAGTCTAGTCGTAAATAAAAATGAAAATTATTGAAATAAAAAAGGTAAAATATTTACTTGTTTAATTATAAAATATCTTTATTTATAACTTTAAAGTGTACCTTAACAAAAAAGAAAAGTAGGGTTATTATCTATGTTTGTGTTAATAGAAACGCCATTAAGTGTATTATTAAGTTAAGTTAGTGGGAATTAAGTCTATTAAGTTGTTAATCCTTAGTTTTTTAAATTAATGTATGACTGAAAGGCGTATATATATATATATATATATATAAACTTCGACCGAGTGTCCTCGAATTAACGCGTAAGTCTAGGTATGATTTTAATTACTAGATTTTTCTTTTAATTTTCAGTTAGAAACAATATTCTATCATTGCATATTATTGTTATTTAGTTCTTATTTTTTAATTTGTTTTTTTGTAGTATGATAAAGGCTGAAAATGATCTCCCTTTCGAAGAAAATAAAAAACGAACCTGGTAAAAACTTTAATGGAACAATGAAAGCGAGTACAAGAGTTTCCATTAGAGACAAGTTACTAATAAAAGGTGAGAACCAATTAGATTTATTTAAATGTGTTTTCAGGAACAACTTTTGTGAAATGTTAATTATAACAATATATTTGTTTTAGGTCTTTTAAGCTTGAATTATATCTTTCATTAAAAAAACTAAACATTCTGAGTATTAGTTCTATTTTTTCACTTAAAAATAGCAAAATAATATGGTTGCTTTCCTGCAAAGATTCTTCTTCCTTTCCATGTTATTCATTGTAAAAGTATTGGTTAGAATTTCTTAATTCTTGAAGTGTTAAAATATTTTGAATATAGAAAATGTTGGGGATATCAATGTAAAAATGCTATAATGGTTGTAAACAAAGTCATTTATTTTTAAGTGAAATAAAGTGTTATTTTGTAGCAATTTGAACATCTAATAAATATATTTATATAATTTAGTCTGCAAATTTGTCATAAATCAAACTTTTTTAATGTATGTAATTTTATTAAAATTCTTTACATAAAAATAATTTGCTATGACAGACTGACTTGAGTAATTTTTAAATTTTTTCCAGTGCTTATATAATTTTTAATATTCTATGTAGAAGTACAAGAATTGGAGTCCAACTTGCCAAGTACCTGTAGAACATATTTTCCTAACCCAAATGAATTGCACAGATTAGAAATAACTATTACTCCTGATGAAGGCTACTGGTGTGGTGGAAAATTTAAATTTGTAATTGAAGTCCCAGATGATTATAACATGGTTGTAAGTATTGACTTAATTTAAATTCAGATTTGACTTACAAAAAGCCAAATCTGACATTAAATTTTGAATGAACCATGTGTAACTTCTTTGGTAATATCTGTATAGAATTTTGCAGATTTTCCTAGTTGAAAGAAAATTTCTCTTTTGTTATGTATTTTAGAAAGGTTTTTAAATCTGAGAAAATTTCTGCTTAGGCTAGGTCTAATGCAAATCTGAGTATAAAATTTCGATAAACTAAATTTATTTATTTAAATTTTGACTTTTATAGTTTTTCATGATTTCATACAAAAATTCTACTGGCTTTGTTTTACATTTTAAGAAAGTTTCTAAAGCTTGGAAAATTTCTAGTCATAATGTCTAGGACTGTTCCAATAGCAGGTGACATAACCGTACGAGCATACTATTAGTCTTTTCGAGGATGATTTTTCTGAGTGGTTGTAAAATTAAAATTTATATGCGGAAATATATTTTCATTTTATACTAGGTAAAGCACCAACTCAAGTGATTATCATACTTGTATACGTGTTTGAATTATTAATTACTCATGGTGGTCAACGTCAATTTAAATTAAATTTATGAATTGTAGAAATAAATAGAAGCATAATTTTTACTGCCACTTAAAATATACAGATAAAATTTTAATGCAAAATGCAAGAAAGTTGGCAGCTATGCCTAACTTATTTTTTGTCCTGTATCTGACTCAATATTTTAAGAATTTATCAATATTTACCACTTCTTCCGTACTCCATATATGGAATAAGTGGTTTAAATATTAATATACATACCTGCCAAGTCTCCTGTTTTTTAATGAAGACTTCTGTATTTTACTAGTATCTCCTGTTTACCTGTATATTCTCAAATTTTTCCGTATTTGAAGAAATTAAAAAAATTTTTTTTTGACAAAATATCTGCTGATGGCTAAAATACTTCTTATTCTTCAACAATTTTGCTATTGCCAGTACTGCTGTATGTTGTATGCTCTTAGTTTAAGTAATTATAAATAATGGTTCTAAAAAGTCTTCTTTAGATTTATATACATATTTTTTACTTCGCTAAACGTAAATTTTTATATTAGTTCCACTTTTGAATTTCTATTTTTGACTTACATGATTATGTACGATGTATCAAAACTTTACTAGTAGCCTAAAAAATGTCGCTAGTAAAATCTCCATTATTTTATGTTTCCAATATTGGCAGGTATGTATATGTATTAAACCTACTCCATAAAGGCTAAAATCAAACACAAAACCTCAAACATATCAATTAAAACCTTTCCCACAAAGAAAATAATATTGATAGAATTATCTCAAAAAAATGTGATATGGGCTTAGTCTTATATTATTAAAACCTATTAATATTAAAATATATTATCTAGAAAGATATAAAAGCCATAAGCAAGGTATAATGCAAACATGTAAGTAGTCTGGGCCTGGTCTCCCCTTGCATGAAATAAAATAACTTTGTTTCTCTGATTTTGTATTTCTAAAGTAGCACTCTAGCTACAAGACTACAATCTAAATTTAAAATATGATGAAACTGTAAAATATTATATTCTGTAATGTTAAAAGAATTGTGTATATCTAATCCATAAATCGAGCTTATTTCTATTGCACAATTATTTCAAACCTTTCCCACGAAGAAAGTCATATTATTGATCTAATTATCTCTGAAATGTGATGTCTCTTGAGTAGCTTGTGAAGTTGATCAGTCCCACCTTACTAAGATCTATTAATATTTAAATATATTGTCCAGAAAGATATAAAAACCTCCTTTCCAAGCTCAAACTGGCTCTTCTCTATCTGTCCACCAATATGTAAAGTTCTCATTTTTGGGTCTGTGGCCCTTACTTAAATAAAATTCTATTTTTCTTCATGTTCCTGAATCTATTTTCAATAAGCACCGACCACACGACAAATTTACCGTGTTAATGCTTTCAAAGCATAATACATGTACCTAGTTAGTTCCTAGGTATAGAAAAAAACATCTTGCTTTTTATTTTGGTAAGCTTGGCATGTCTGCATTTATTTGTTTCTAAATATCTACTAAATCTAGTAAAAAACTGATTTGAAACTCCTAATTGTAAGTTTAATACAGTTGTATGACATATTTGTTATAAACGGAGAATACATTTCTTTGGTCTTTCACTGTAAAGAATTTTATTTTAAGAATAATTCAAATTTTTAAAACTATATGTGCTTATTTAATGTAAATTCATTTTAGCCTCCCAAAGTCAAATGTCTCACTCGCCTTTGGCATCCAAATATTAATGAAGAAGGTGCAATATGTTTAAGTCTTTTGAGGCAAAGCTCAATTGATGGCCTAGGTAAGTTAATTTTACATCTTTCATTATTTTAAAACTCTCTTACAATTAGTCTGATTACATTTAAATTATCCATATATTACCAATTAGCAATTTTAAATTTTAGAAAAAAAAGTTTTATTACTGAAAAGAATTTAAAGAAAACAAAAGCTAACTTTTAACTTTTTTAGCAGTAAGGAAAAGGCTAGTTTTAAATATTTATCCTATTTTTGGATATGAGTGCTATTTTTTTACTTTTTGTAAAAATAAAAATATTAAAATTGAAACATTTAATTTAAATCTTGACTGATTAAATATAATCTGTGCATATCTATATTCAGAAAATATCCATTTTTCTGAAAAAGAACTCAGTAAAAAGTTTTTTTGGAAACATATTTTTTCTGAAGTATTAGTTCATTGTAGTAATTTTTATTTTGTAACTTAAATTATGCCATCTGAAAAAAGTTTTACGATTGGATTTTTCTATACCACTGCCAAGACTATGAAGTAATTGTTTTTCGCTGCTTCGGAACAATAAAACTGTTATTTGTTAATTTTTTTATAGATTTTTAATGGAATTGGGATAATTTAATAATATGCCACATTTAAAAGTTATTTAGGAAAGCATTTTCGGTGAAAAACTTCTCAATTTCCGTATGTATAGTTAGATGTAATTCTGTGTATTTTGACTGGTAATGACAAGTGTTTAAGAATTGGTGGTTTTAAAAATCATGTCATTGTTATCTATTATAACTAATGAAATTATAAAAAAAATTGCATATAAAATTTTACATGATCAATCTATTATGCTCTTTAATCATATAAACATTAAATCTCTTAATTTTGACCAGTATTGTCATCTAGAAAATCATAATCTATTATAAATATCAACTGGCTTAAATAATTAAAACTATTACAACATACTAAAATCAACATGTTTATTTTATTTAAATTATTTTATTTAATTGAAATTTATTCTAATAACTGTACTAAATATTGCATATACTATTGATAATAACACTTAATTAAGCATTTGAATTGATTGGATGTGGCAGTTACTTGATTAAAACATTTTTATTTTTGCAAATTATAATAATTTAAAATAAAAATTGAAATCAATATAAAACCACATTGTAAACCCATTTTGAATAGTAGTTTTATTATTAAAACAAATGCACATAAATTTTTACTTAAATTTACCAATTAATACTTTTAAAATTAAAAAAAACTATATAATTACCTTTTTTCATAATTAATACTTTATAATACAATTGATGTTATTTTCATCAAATAGTATTGACATTTATTTAAAATGTTAATTTTTAGTTTTAACAGCAATTGGCACATTTTCAAAAAAATGGGCCGCTAAAACATTTGCTTTGACTGGCTGCCGGCCACCAAAGAAATTTCCTATATTTAATCTATAATTTGTGTGAAGTAATTCATCGAAAAGGATCTGAAATGTGAAAAAACTCATGGTTTTTAGGTCATACGAGCGCAACTTCAAATATTTGTCAAATTTTGGCAAAGCATTCTTCTAATATGGTTCCACAAGTACCCTATTCTATACATAAAGTAGCACCATTTGATTTTTTTCTTGTTCTAATGGTTAAAATTTCCTTTTTGTACTCATTGTTGATTTTTTTCCTGTCCAATATGAATTCTGAAAAGCATCCACAAAAGCTATTTTAAAGGATTATTAAATGTTTTCAGATTGCTTAGCACATACTATATTGGTTAGACATTGAAGTCAGCAAAGATTATTTTGAAGGAAACGAAAAAGATTTTGATACATAAATTTATACTACCATTTCAAATACTTTTTGATCATAGTTTAATATATCTATGCTCTTATTTTAATGCTGTTATAATATTAAGTTATGATGTAAGATATTAAAAAAAAAAGTTTTTAATTATGATTTAGGATGGGCTCCCACCAGAAGATTAAAAGATGTTGTTTGGGGCCTAAATTCTTTATTTACGGTAAACCTACTTTTAATATTTTTTGTATATTTAAAAAATATTTTTAATTTTTTGTTAAATAAATTTTTCTCATTCTGCTATTATGTTTTTTAGGATCTACTTAATTTTGATGATCCTCTAAATAATCAAGCTGCAGATCACTATTTAAAAGATAAAGTATGTTTCTGTTACCAATTTTTAAGGATAAACTGTCAATGTCTCAAACTTTAAGTAAACCATTACATAAAAAGTGAGAAATAATGTGAAATTGATTTAATTGTGAACTTGTCCAGCTCTATTTCTTAAAGACTCTTTAACATTTGTACTATTTCCTAACTCTTAAAAATAAAATTAAAGCCTTTAATTATTTTGGATCTAATTATCATATTGTATGATCACCTATCTTATTGTTTTAAAGTCATTACATGAAAATTAATTTTTACTGTTATTCAGAAAACATTTCTTACTAAACACTGACTTAGATAAAATGAAAAACTTTCTGTAAGCATAAAATCTCAAACTTTCTGCTAACAATTAATTGATCTTTGTAACTAGTTTTATCCTTTTCATTGCTATCTAATTTTGATGAAATTTGTTTGAAAATTTCTTTTTATAGTGTTTTATTTAAAAAATATATATATTGATATATATATGCACTATATACATATCACTGTATCTTTTTTTAAGATTAGCAGTTTTATGAAGCTATAAAACAAGTTATTGATTTATTTTGTTTTCTTTTATGCTTAACTTTCTTTGTAATAGAAATGCAAAAACATTTCAATGAAATATTTAATAAGTTTTTATTTTTATGAGTCACTTTCAAATTCTTTTCCATTTAAATAATCTTGCTTTCTTGCACTTCTCATTTTACTATGCTTAATAGTTACCAAAATAAAGAGTATTAAAACTGAATTGTTATAGTAATGAGTAATATTAAAAGATTTTTGGGGATGGTTTAGAATTTTTGGCGGACGGCATTGGCGTGTTCGTTTATATTATGCATATCTACTAAAGACTTGATACAACCTCCCCCCAAGAGAAAAACATTTCAAAAGTGATCAGTTGAAAAGGGAAGAAAAATCCTATTTTAAAAAGTAGAAAGCGCAGTCAAATTCTAAGCATGGCATTTCTACTAAGCATTTTAATTGGGTTAAGAAATATTGTTTTAATATGAAGAAAAAAGAACTTGTAATAAGGATTACTACTACGCCAAAATCATGCGCTGTCTATAACTGCACCAACTGAAGGGATATGAAACTTTTATTAAATAGATATCTATTTATATAGATTTTAAACGATCAGAATGCCAAAGTATTATTTTATATTATATTGTGACATATGAATTAAAGATGATTTTAAAACGCGTCTTTCCAATCATACATAGATGTGTTACGTTCTCAAAATGCAATAATCTTAAAAAAGAATTAAACCCTGAATCATTTTTAACTATTCTTACTTTGGATGATTTGAAGTTATGTTGTGAAATGGTTTTCATATATCTGAAAAAGCTTTTTATGATCCAAATACATCTAAAATCACTAGCAAGTAGTCCGATTCTCCAAAAAGCATTACAAAATCGTACTTCTAAATGCTATTAGATTTCTAAATAATTCTGCTTTTTAATGAACAAGTTAATTTTCTCAGTGATATTGTCATATTAACTTTTGTTATTACAATTATGCATTTATATTAAAAGGTGAATTTTTACTATTGTTGAAATAATATAATTTATATATGTGTAAAATTTTATGCATGTGATATTTATTTGGAAATATAATTATAGGTATTCATTTATATTTAACCAAAATATTAGTTGGAAGAATGGTTATTTATCTGCATTTTTTATTTTATCTCCGTTTATTAAACTATAATTTTTAATTGTTAATTTATCTGTGTTGATTTAAATTAGATGAACCTTTTAGTGTTTAGAAATCACACCTTTTACTGTTTAGTGTTAGAATTAGTGTTAATAAAGATCTTTATGTTATATGATTTTTCTTAATTTTACAATACATTTTTAAGCTTCTATAAAAGCTGTTATAGCCATTACTTTAATCAGAAAAAAATAAAACTTATATCCTTTTTCTAATTAATGAGTCATGTTATGCAAAATGCTTGTATTCTTGCTCTTCTCAGTGATGGTGCATGAAAACTAGATTTTCTTAGAAGGACCGCTGGGTCAATACTGCAGTTTACCTTTAGCTCAGTGTTTCTAATATAGTATAATGTTAAATATTGTAATCCATCATAATCTGATACTCTGAGAAATGTTTAACTTGTTCAGTAATTTACTGTAACAGAGTCTGGCCATAAAAAAAAATTTCGGTTACTTTTTTGTTCCTTAATATTTTTATTGAAGGAGATTAATTTAATATTAACATTTCTTCAACAGCAATGATGAAATAAAATATTTAAGACAGTTTAGTTGCCATGGCGAATGGCATTGGGAATAATTTTTGCTGAAATCCCTAACAAAAGCATCAAAGCAACTAATTATTTAGCAACTGTTTTTAGTTGTGCTTTTCATAAAGGTTTTTTTTACTCATGTCTTAATCTAGATTCCTTTAAGAGGCCTTGGGCGAATACAAGGTAACTCCAGATTTAGAAATTGCTGGAGAAAGCTAAGTGAAATTTTAAAAAGTTGATTTATGTGGCTTTTCTGAACATCCTTAACTATGAAGGAGATTAAATTTATATTTGTGTCTGGTTCTTGCTATATTTAAGGCAGCAATACTGTCCATTGCAGAAACTACATTAAAATTTAAAAGAAAAAGGAAGTTCTTGCACTGTTTTTTTTTCAGTTGTCTTATGTTTTATTGCTTTTTACATTCATTTTACTTGTTGTATATTGCAGAAATTTAATTAATTGATACTTCAGTGGAGATTTTTGTGTTACTTTTATGAATATGAGTTTGTAAGCAAGTTCATTTCATTTTCAGGAAGGATTTAAAGCAAAAGTAAGGGATTATGTTCAACGTTTTGCAAGAAGATGAAGTTTTCAAATTTTAGCTGTTTATGTAAATATTTTTTTCCCTCATTGTAAATCATGATTTCATTATACCTTTGAGCTCATTATCATCTGTGTGGTCAGCAAAATAAAAGTCCTTTAAATTTCTTCACAGAATTTTTCCTTTAAATTATTTTAATAAATAGCCTCTGATGTTTTTACACTTATCAGGTAGTAGAGATTTTTAGTAGAGATCAGGTAGTAGAGTTTTTACACTGTCAGGTCAAGTAGAGATTTTAAGAAATGTTTCCTGTTTCANAAATATTTTTTTCCCTCATTGTAAATCATGATTTCATTATACCTTTGAGCTCATTATCATCTGTGTGGTCAGCAAAATAAAAGTCCTTTAAATTTCTTCACAGAATTTTTCCTTTAAATTATTTTAATAAATTGCCTCTGATGTTTTTACACTTATCAGGTTTTGGATTTCTTCCTTAATGACGGGAAAAAAAACTAAGAGAAATGGAAAAAGTTGGACAAAATAGAACAAACTAAAAATGACCAATGTAATTGTTCTGCAATAAGTATTATAAGAATTTAAAATCAATTAAAATTTAATACAGTACAAAAAGTTTTTCAAAAATAAAAGAATTATTACTCTATAGGAGTATGATATTATTCAAGATAATTTCGTGGGTCATTTTAAAATTTTCATTACCTATTATGATAATTTGTTTTGGATTTAAGTTATTTTTATTTTCTGAAATAAATATGTGTGCTTGTATAGAAATTATGCATAGTTAGGATACTTTTTAATTTACGGTATGTTCGGTTTTGAAATTAATTATTTAATAAACAATAAATATTCATTTTAGAAATATTTGTTAAATATCAATAATTTATGAAAATATGATTTTTCTTAATTTTTAAATTTTTTTATTTGAGTGTATTTTTTAGTGACTTTATAAAGTAATTTTGATTTTAATATTCAGCAAAGATAGATAAATTTTTTTTTTTTTTTTAGAAAACAAGATGTAATTTGACCATCAAATTACAAGGACTAGTTTTTTACTCTAAAATTATTAGTAAATTCTGAGCAAAAGGCTTTAAAGCTATCACAATGTGAAAACAGAACAAATGATTCTATATGATCTGACATGTTGTAAATTTACAAGTTTAATTTTTAATATCAATTCTACGTGTAAAACTGTTCATCATTATAAGGTCAGAAAATTCAAAAAGATTTGTCATATTTTTGAAATTGTATATCATTTTTCATTTATTTATTAATAAAAATTTAAATTATGTATTAATACTAAGTTCACAACTGAAAGTTCTCAGGTTTATTTTGTAGATTATGAATGACTAATAATTTTATGATAGATAAGGTTTGTAAAAATTATATCTGTATTAAAGATATTTTTTCCGAATCATATCTACAAATTATTTTGAGTATTCATCTCTAACATTATTGGATTAGGAAAATTAGTTAGCATAATTATTGTTATGATTTTTTTTTTACCCAATTTCATTATGACGAGTTCTTTATACATACATTTATAAAATCGAGTTCTACTTAACCTTTTTGTGTAATCAGTTGTTTAAGTTGCATAGGTAATTCATTAAATTTATTTTTCTTTCCAATTGTTGCTTTTAAATTTCATTTATTTAAAAATGATGTATTAAATGGATTGAGAATTAATGCTTATTAGGCCGAAAACAACCTTGCAGAAATCTCGGAAAGCCCTCCCTCATTAGTCAGCGTGCAACAGTCGCGAGCGGGGAGTGGGGCATGTCTTAAGGGGTCGAGTAGAGATTTTAAGAAATGTTTCCTGTTTCAGTGTCATTGCTTTTCTTTTACATTACGCATACTATATCGCGAACATTACTGTATCATATCATAAAAGATAGTACATATATAAAAAACTAACTCAGTGGCGCGACAGCCCATTAAGAGGGCCAAGGCCGACTGTGCCCATCTCAGTTTTCTTGACCTTGGGCTCTGGGGTGCAGGAGCATATGTTCCGGTATAGTTTTTTTTAAGTAGCGGA